CTTTGCTGATTACTGCGTGTGTGCATGTCATTGACGAATATAGGGAGGACATTCAACTGAAGTTGCATTAAATCATCAGGTTGTTTTAAGCAAGATTATCCTGCAAGATGTTTCTTTTCAACTACATGTAAATTCCCTGTTATAGACTAACAGTATTATAACAAGCAATATTAAAAATATCCAGTTTATTCCCATTAATACCCGTTTATTCCCGTTAGGGCTGGGCAATATGGCTTAGAAATAAAATCTCCAATTTTTTCACACCAAACCCGATTTACAATTTTAATCGATTTTTTTGTAGTTTTTTAGCGGTTGTTTGTGGGCTGTGGTCCTGTATATCTCGCAGAGAGCAACATTTCTCCCACTCGGCTGCATGCCTCTGCTTGAGGTGCCGGAATAAATTGGTCGTACTGCTACCTTTGGTTGCAACAGCTTTCAAACAAACTTTGCAGTGGGTCGTGGTTTGTTCGCTGTCGGACGCCACAAAACCAAACCAGTTCCAAACAACCGACGACACTGTGCCTTTTTTGGGGACGAGCTCATCCTGGCTTGCTGCCATGTTGTGTTTATCTGTGGAGAGGCGGGGGGAGGGGTCAGCGCACTCTGACCTACGGGAGCCCAAAGGGAGCACCGGTGTTGTGGAAGTTCAAGAGAAAACCGATTTTAACTAAAAATAAATCGTGTTTAACTACAAATTCGAATTAATCGATCAAATCGATTTATCGCCCAGCCCTAATTCCCGTTAATTCCTGTTAATTCCCATGGAAAGTTTCCAACTTTGCAATTCCCGGAATTTTGCAACCCTAATTGTGACTCACATGACTTGTTCATCCATCAACAACACTGTCAATACTTCAATGATGGATGGATGGATGGATGGATGGATAGATAGATGGATATACCACATGGGTCTAGTGTTGCTTTCGTCAACAAAAATTATGACTAAATATTGTCGTCAACGAACCTTTATCACGTGACGAGACGCAACGTAAATGGTGGTCATGTGAGGAAAACCATAATCAAATATATAATGCAATATTGTTGACAAATAAAAACGGGACTAAATGTGGTTTACAAAATAAAAACTCTGCTAAAATATCTCTTCATTTTCGTTGACCAAAACGAGACAAGACGAAATGTTAGAACGTTATTTCGTCTCGCTATTATTATTTTGCAATATTTCTATTTCCTGAGTCTCGGGACTGCATCAGCGCACTGCGCAGACGCAGGCGACGTCACTTCCTCAATCCCCGCTCGCGGCATTATTTAGAAGATGCAGCTGCAGTGGGTTAATGTTAGTCACAGACACACACATTTTATTGGCACTTTTTTATTATGTTATTGTAGCTCGAGCAATCAAGCACCTTGTTTCTCTTTAAGTTAAACTTGAATGTAATGTCAATTTTTTCTTGCATTGTCATTTGAAGCTATTTTATTTATTTATTTTATTTAAATTTATGTGTGTGTACTTCTTAGTACGTGTTTGGTAGGTAAAATAAATACGTTGTAAATTCAAATCAGAGCGTCTTCCATGTCTGGAATTGAATGTATTCTTGAGTCTATAAGGTAACAATAATATAATAAGATAACCTTGTTTGACTTGAGAAATGGGTGACTTAAAGAAAATGTTGGTTTTGTCTATACTATACTAGGTACTTGTACTATATTAACTGGGTTAAATAGAATTGCATTACTAAAAAGAGACTAAAATACAATTTTCATTGACTAAAACTAGACGAAAATAGTCATGGATAATTCTGACTAAAATAAGACTAAAATGCTCAGGCTTTTAGTTGACTGAAACTTGACTAGACTAAAAAGAGTATTAACGTGACTAAAACTAATAAAAACTCAAATGACAGTTTGACACAAAGACTAGACTAAAACTAAAATTAAAACAGGCCGCCAAAAACAACACTAGTAACGGCACACTTATCTTTTCCTCGCTGCATCTTTCTGTCTACACTGGAAACAGACTGGGAGTCCTACTCAAAATTTTACTTCATTCCAAATTTAATACAACACAAAACAGTGAAGGATACATGAGCTGTAACTAAAGCCTTGGTCACACTACATGACTTTATCTTTGTACTGTGATCTTTGTACTGTTCACGCTACACAACTTTCAGTCTTGGAATCGTTCTTGAAGTTGTTCTCCAAACTACTTTTCATCAGGAATCATTAATAACACCATTAATAACAAGCACATCATGTTTAATTAGGAAAGTACTTTAAAAACTTTACAAAAAGGGCAACCATTTACAGCATGCTGACATTAGGAACTGAGGACAATAAGCTAATCAGCCAGCATCACATTATTAAAGCATTACTCAAACTAATAACTAACAGCAGCCAACATCAGGCAACCTTGTCATACTTTAGTAGTTACTTAGTGTTTCTGTAGTGGTGACAAAACGTTACAAATGTTACATATTAGCAGTTTGAATTCAACTACAAGCTCCCTGCACCAAGCTGCCTTTAAGAAGTATAGATAGATTTTTTATTGTCCTTTTCAGGAAATGTGTTGCCACAGTCTGTATATAAATGTATGGACACATCATTACCAAAGGATAGACATTTAAACACAGCACGAACATCTAAACACAACACAGGTATTTACACGTAATGGCTACCGGGGAGTTTTGTTGAGTAGCGCTATGGCAACTTCTGCTCGTTTACAGGCTAGTGATAAATGTACAAATGAACAATTCCTCACGTCTGTAAAAACACGTAACTCTAGAAACACTAGCTTAAGGGCATCATATGTCGACAGTCTTCTTGTCAATTGAGCATCAATATAATCCATAAAGATAAACTGTATTCTGTACAAACTTTATATGTTGTTGTCTGAACTGGCTCAGCCTCTGTTGTAGCTGTGCTTCAGTGGGAGAGGGCCGTGGGAATGAGAGGCAGACAGTTTCAATAATTAAGTGCTGGTTTGTAGATCAGATACACACCATATTGAACGAAGACTCAATAACACTGTAAAAGCATTATCAAAATAATCAGACAGTTATTTATCTGATCAATGTAAAACAGCGAAAAAACTGTGAAAGATGTCCATCCCAGTTTTCCAAGGTGACGTCTTAAAAAGACTAGGAAAAATGGCAAATTCTCACGTTTGAGAAGCTGGAATCGTTAAATCCTAAACATACAATATGTCATTTCTGCTGCTAGGGGGTCTCTCGCATCAAAATAATAACTAAAGTTGTCTTAAGCACCATCAATGCAGTCAGCTTCTCCTGATTATCCACAGAGGTCTCCTCCTCTCCAAAGCAAACGGACCCGCTGATAAAAACTTCCACCTCCACTGCTGGACAGACAAAGGACGTCCCGGACGGGCTGTGAGCCGAGCTGCTGCTAACGCCATCGACAGGCAAACTGTGAAACGTTATATTATAGCTTTGACTGAGTAACTATCACATATCCATCAATCGACTAATCAATAAATCCATTAACTGTTGCTCATTTACTTCAGCGAGGCTACTGCGTTGACACTATTATGGGGCAGCTGTGGCTCAGAGGTAGAGCGGGTCATCCACTAATTGGGAGGTTGGCGGTTCGATCCCCGGCTCCTCTCGCTGCATGTCAAAGTGTCCTTGAGTTAAGACACTGAACCCCAAATTGCTCCTGTTGCTGTGCATCGGTGTATGAGTGTGTATGAATGATTAGTTTCCGTTCTCCGTTCTGGTCACACCATCAGTGTGTGAATGTTAGTGTGGCAGTGTACAGCGCATTGAGTGGTCGGAAGACTAGAAAGGCGCTGTATAAGTACAGTCCATTTACTATTATCTGTCTGAACAAGAGCTGCAACAGTTGGCTAATGGATGATGATGTAGAGTGATCCAGCAAATAACGTAGAGTTGTTGAACCTTGCTCGTCTTTTACTGCAGCAAAATGCAATGTCATCCGGCCTAATAACTTTTTTTGTTTGATTGATAAAATGCCACTCCTAGTCCTGAAAGTAGAACCAAATAATGTGTGACTGAGAATTTTGGTATTGGTAGAATCAGTGAGAACAATTTTTTCTGCTCTGAGATATTATGATAAATACAGATTCCTAGATTTATTTCGAACAAAGGTTCATGTTTGCCAGGGGCTGTAAATGTGTACGGTAATGACAATTGAGTTTGTCATTGACGGCTCATAAAGACCTAGAAGATTTCATGGTCCTATCTATACTAAGGTAAAAGTCCCTCTTGCTGCTCCCTGTCTCATTATTGTCCTCTCAGCAGCACAAGACAGATTCTTCTTTGTGTCTTATCATGTCCTTCCACCAGTGCTTTTTTGTCCTCCCACGTATTTTATTGCTACTGACTAAGGTGGGTGTGTTTGCTGAAGTCAGAGTTTATGATTCACTCTTTAACATTAATCTCAGTGTTGAAGATAGTGAACACAGTGAACTGTTCATGGCTAAAAGCTGAATATGTTTGCCATTTACAGTGATTTACTTCAGAATGAACTGTGACGAACATTGAGGTGTCATTCATCATCATTTTACTGTACTTCAGCACGGATATTCAATTCAATTCAATTCAATTCAATTTTATTTGTATAGCGCCAATTCATAACAGAAGTTATCTCAGGACACTTTTCAAATAGAGCAGGTCTAGACCGAACTCTTTATAACATTATTTACAGAGACCCAACAGTACCACCATGAGCAAGCACTTGGCGACAAGGGCAAGGAAAAACTGCCTGTTAAAAGGCAGAAACCTAGGACAGATCCTTCGGCTCTAGGTGGGTGGTCGTCTGTCTCGACCAGTTGGGGTGAGAGAGACAGAGAGAGACAGAGAGAGAGAGAGAGAGAGAGAGAGAGAGAGAGAGAGAGAGAGAGAGAGAGAGAGAGAGAGAGAGAGAGAGAGGTGCACAGCAACAACAGATATGCTAAAATAAGGGTTGAAGTTATCTGACTGGGTCCTTTTGTCAGCTGTTTCTTATTATTCTTTACTGAGTCAAGCACCAAAATCCTTACAGTGCTGTCTTTGTGTTGGTCGTAGGTATTTTGCAGCATCCAGATGGAACAGTCCTGAAGCAGCTTCAGCCTCCACCCAGAGGTCCACGAGAGATGCAGTTTTACAGCATGGTAATACCTCTGCATTCATAAATCTGCTATTCTCACACAGTTACATACACTACTGCTACTACAGCTGTACCTGTACTTGAATAAATAATACAAATGTGTGAAAAATCCAGCTGTTGAAGAAAATCTGTCCTTTCCAATGAAATGATTAACTTTAAATATAATCTAATACTAGGCCTGTCACAATAACTATTTGTCTTGGATGATGTAATGTAATATTAATATTGCCATTTTATGCCACTGATATAATGATAAGCATAATAATGCAAGTTCACCCTTTTAAAGGGCAATGAACTTTTAATTCTTGACATGTGGGGGAAAAAAATTCCTTGATAAACAAAACATAAATAAAACCACTCTATCAAAACAATAAATAGTATGGACATTTGCCACAGAGTCGGGCTACAGAGTCTTTACTTAACAGGCAATATAGTGATGGTAGGGAAATAGTTTTATTAGTTAGTCAAGATGGTAATCAGAGGTAAAATGAGTTGTTCAAAAACACTGCAATTGTAGCTCCAAAGCGGAACTATTGGGAAGAGACGTGTGGACCAGGAGGACCCCTTTTCCATCAGATCAGCTCTCTCACTCTGAGCTGTATATGATTTTATGAGCATTTACTTCTATTGTGACTCACATGACTTGTTCATCAGTTAACCACACTGTCAATACTTGATGGATGGATGGATATAAATCCTTAATAATCAGTATAAATATCAGACATTCCACATGGGTCAGTGTAATCCTGCGTGTGTCTGCTGCTTCAGTGTTTGCCTTAGAGCTTAGCAGCACTGTCAGACTCAGCAACTCTCATACAAACAGCAGTGAGTCATGGCATTGCGTCCGCCTGTCTCTTGACAAAACCAATCAAACCTAATCCCAACAACGCACACATCTCACACTGCGCTGGCATCCTGCAAACAGCTGGTAGTGTCAAATATTATTGAGCTGGTCCAAAAAATCAGTAAGTCAAATATTTTACGTTTTATTACACATATTACATATTTAACAACATAGGGCTGCTGTGAAAATGCAATAATTATTGCTCATAAAATCCAATTGTTCATCAGAATTGGATCATCAGAGTGGAAAAATAATAATTACATTGTATTAATACTGCGTATACCCTGTATTAGTGATTAAATGTTAAGTTGATTCGTTGATTAGTCAATCAACAGAAAACTAACCAGATGTGAGAAGAATGAAGCCTGGTTCCAGACAGTCTTTTGTTCAGTGATTCAAATAGATAATCACTGTAAATGTAATATATTTTTGGGTATTGGACTGTTTGTCAGAGAAAACAAGCACTTTGGCTGTCACCTAGGATGATGGGAACTGGTGGTAGATATTTCAGTATATTCCAACATTTGATTTGAAACAATTACCTCAATATAGTGCAAACAAACAACACAGCAAGTAATATAACTTGCAAACTGCAAGCGAAAATTGCTGCTGAGATATTCTCTAGAATCACATACCTAAAATCACATACCCCACCTTTAATTGAGTAAGCCAAACAGTACCCACCAAATAAACCATAATGGAAATAATCTGTAGCTGCACCCCTACTCTAAATATATAGTGTGGTAGTCACTATATATGCGCAGTATAGTATGATGGTGGTAACGTGTGTGTATGTGTGTCCTAGGTGTATGCAGAGGACTGCTGTGATCCATGCCTTTTTGAGCTCCAGAACCATCTGCCCAAGTACTATGGTACCTGGTCCTCTCCTGACAGCCCCAATGGTAAGAGACTGGTGTGTGTGTGTGTGTGTGTGTGTGTGTGTGTGTGTGTGTGTGTGTGTGTGTGTGTGTGTGTGTGTGTGTGTGTGTGTGTGTGTGTGTGTGTGTGTGTGTGTGTGTGTGTGTGTGTGTGTGTGTGTGTGTGTGTGTGTGTGTGTGTGTGTGTGTGTGTGCGCCTCTCTCTATCTAAATCCAACAATACATGCAGGTTAGGTGAACTGGATTTTGAAGCTGATACTGATGTTGTTATTAATTTCAAAAAATCCAATAATTTAATAATACATTTTTCCTTTGGATTGTTGGATTGCAGAATATAAACTCTGTTACCTTTTGTAAAAAACACATTTCTCCAGCACTTTTGGTGAAATTTCAGCTCTATAAGCCAAATACCATGAGCTACTGTTATTTCAGCTAAATGATTCTTCTTATTCTTATAAATGTTACATTATATTAATTTGACATGAATAAGGTTTTTACTGCAAGTATTGGTAAACTGTTTACAATTCTCTTGTCAGTCATCTGATGTTGAAAAAACAGACAAGACATGAAGTCGAGGAAGAACCTCCATCAAATCAGAAACATGTTATGAGCAGTACTGACTGTATGATTAATACAAAAAAAATGAAAAGCCAACATCAGCCTCATGTAAACAGGCTAGTAATACTATGCCACTGCCTCAGACTTGTACCTGAAGCTGGAGGATGTGACCCGGCGCTTCGTCAAGCCGTGCATCATGGATGTGAAGCTGGGCCAGCGGAGCTACGATCCGTTCGCCTCGCAGGAGAAACGGGAGCAGCAGATCAGGAAATACCCACTGATGGAGGAGATAGGCTTCCTGGTCCTCGGCATGAGGGTGAGTTTGACTTGAAAAAATGTATATCAGATTTTTTTTTTCTCTTGTTGCACAGAATATTTACTTTATTAATTGATGTACCTTTACAAAACAATTACAAACAAGACAGGAATAACAGAAAAGCTACATTTAAAAAAGTGCTAAATCAAAGTAGAGATTTCATAGCCTAATATTCTTGGAAACTTGATTTAAATTGAAAAGTAAATACACAAGACAAACCTTCATAACGGAGACAATTCATCCCTTATGTCCAATAACCTGACAACTTTTGGAATTAACTAGGGATGCTCGATATTGGCTTTTCTGCCGATATCCGATATTCCGATATTGTCCAACTCTCAATTTCCGATACCGATATCACCCGATACCGATATATGCAGGCTTTTTACACCAAAACTGTTAGGTAACAACATAACATATCTCCTATTGTGGAATTAACACATTATGCCTCATTTTATTGTGATGCCCCCACTGGATGCATACATAAATGCAACATGGCTTTCCAAATGTAAACACTGTCTGTGCACAATAAGAGAACAACTTCAACTTTCATTGTATTAATACTGAAAAGAGCGCTAATGCTAATCGCTAAGCACTAGCTTTGGTTAATGTGTTTAATTGTATTATGCACCTGAAGGAGTGCTAATGTAAATTCTAACCAATTGTTAGTTTGGTTTAGGAACAGCTCATAGCAGGGTCAAATATTTAAGGTGCATTGCACTTATTTTGTGTTAATATTAAAATCATTCAGCTTTAAATTGTTTGCTTGTTAGCCACGGTTAGCAACCAACCAGTCTAGTGTGTAGTTGTTGTTGTTATACGCCATCTAGCGCACGCCGGTAAACGTCCCACGCTGCGTTCATGCAGGCTCGGAAATGCTGAAGCCTACAGAACAAACATCGGTTATAAAAACCTGATTCCGATAATTCCTGATATTACATTATTTAGTGAGTATCGGCCGATATTCACTAAATAATGTCTAGAATTAACAGATATCAAGTTAGTACATGTGATACCTGTACACTATTTGTCCAAACACCCCACCCTTAGTAATAGGATAACAGAAGTAATTGATCACACCTTTCATTCACACAGTGATGATCAACACAAGATACTGACAGAACAACTGGAAAAATGTCAATGTTTAACCCATGTGCTATGTGAAAAGGGTTCAGGTTGTTGACTAAGCTGAACAGTACCCTCTTATGTGTTTGAATACACCCAACCCTGAGCTCAGGCTGAACAGTAAACACACGTCAGGACAGTCTCTCATTAGTTTTTCCACATTGCTGAGACAGACAGACAGATGACAGAGATAGAGAACTTCTTATCTGTCGGAAAGGAAGAGAGTCAAATAGCAAAAGCTTTTATCGCTTTCATCAGTTTCCATTACAGCCCACTCTCATCATCAGTAAGTTTGAGTTTTCCTGCCCACAGCGTGAAACAAACAGAAAACACCCAATGAGCTGAATTAACATTTAAAATGTCCAACTTCTCATATGCAACAAGCATGTTGTTTCATTTGATGTTATTGTCATTTCTTTTCAATCTAGCTTGCCAGTATAATAAGACAATACATATTCCCCCTCCAGTCAGAGATCAGTGTTTTTCTTGTTGCTACAGTGTGCTGTGTGAATGGGCTAAGAGGAGGTCATGATGTGTGTTTTGAGAAAATAAGTGATATACTCCTAACTGCCAGTCTCTGTGTACAGGAAGAAATAGCCCATTGATTGATGGTTGGTCCTGAAAGGCCTGATGGTGTTTGTCTGTCACTGACAGGACATCAGCTTTATGGCGGCATGTCTCCACCCTTTGTAAATGGGTCATAAACTAACTGTACGCTTGTGGATGTTTGCTCATGTGATCTCTATAGAACGGTGACTGAACTTAGTGTTTGATCTGTGCTACGGTACTATAGGCTGCAACATTTTCCTGCAGGGTAGCTGCAAGGTATACTGAATTTACATGAATCTTTTAATTCTGAGGGCTATGATGTTAGCTGTTACAGGGACTGTGATAGATACAAATGCAGATCACACTTTTCTGGTTGCATTAAATTACTGCATATCGTGTTCTTTATACCATGGCAGTTTTTCTAAAATTAGATTTTTCCTAATCACCATATATGATCTTGCTTACTGCTTTGCGATATCACAGTATATTGAATTGTAACCCCCGTATTGTATGTATGTATGTATTGTATCGTCAGATTCTTGCCAATACACAGCACTAGTTACAATGTAATGTACTGCTGTAACTTTTTTGGACTCAAATTTGATTCATATGAGGGTGTTTTCCAAAAATGTGATGATTATAAAATCGAGTTGAGGATCAATTGAATCCTAACCTCGGTATCATGATATGTGTTGTATCACCATTGTATATGAAGGCTGTGTAGCCTTAATATACATTTTTCCTGACACTAATTGTAGTCTTTAAAGTTGTGGATTTGAATTATGTTGCCAGCACGGTATGAGTTTGTAAAAAGGGGCCCAGAGGTGGGTTGAACGTGTAGTAGTAGCTCAAGCTGTAATTTAGATTGAACTCAGTAGATGTACTTAGGACAGGGAGTTTAAAACAGAATGTGTCTGGCACTGGGCTGTGAAAAAATTCCCATACTAATCTCTGCTGTGTGTTTGTTTAGATGGAGAGGAGGCTAATTAGTGGTAATGATCTTCCTGATGGAGGAATGATAGTGAGGGTGGAGAGAGTTGGAGAGAGACTGAAAGGAAAAGATAAAGAGATGATAATGTGTAGTTCTGAGAGAATCTTCCTGCTGCACATGTAAAACTACGAAGCCCCTCATTCTGAATTCCTGCTCAAGTACATATCAGAGAGTTGGACCAGAGTTCTTTTGGAGAGAAAGAACAGCAAGAAGAAAAATACACACATAAGCCCTTTGCTTTGCCTTTCTGACATTCAACACACCAACAGATCATTCTCAATAATCTGCATGTTCTCATGTAAAATTACAATTGTATCAACATTCTTTAATTATAAATCTAAAATGTGTTGGTCCAGCTGACTTTCAGTAACTGTCCTGATATGGCTCAGCAGGCAGCAGGAAGGTGTGAGTGTCGCTGTGGACCACTAGATGGAGTCAGTGTTTGATCAGTTTGAAAGAGACAGCCAGCATTTCAGTCATGGCCATTCCTCTGTTGCCATTGTGCTGTGAGTTGTGACTTTTGACAGATGAACACAATAACAGAGAATAAAGCGGCAGCAGAATGAATGATGTGCATTGGCTTTTCTTCAGCATTAGTTGTTTATAAATTCTATTAATTATATTATGTATGAGGGTTGGTCAGAACAATAGGAGCTGTGTTATTTGCTGTCTTTGTTGAGTCATGAGCAAAATCTGACACGTGTGTATGTACCTTAAATAAACATTAGCATAGTGTGTGTTTTAAAGGGCAAGGTCCAACACAAATACTGCAAACACACTCTTAACATAATGTATTTTCTTTAAATTTCAGGTGTACAAGGTGTGCAGTGACACGTTTGACTCGTACGACCAGCACTACGGGAGGGGACTGGTTCAGGACACCATTAAAGATGGTATGTGTGTGTTGGTGTGTGTTTTCATTAACAAACATTTCACAAGTGACTTACTACCACTGGCAGTGAAGCACAGGAGGACTCTTTTAGAGTAACTCTCAAGTCATTAAGTGCTTAATCACATGTATGCTGAGGAAGGATCAGCCAATTGACCTTTCCTAAGCCACGCCCCGTTTTGCTCTGTGCTCACTGGCTCAACATTTATTGGAGCAAAAAGGGGTGGGGCTTATGAAGGGTCAATTAGACACAGTGATTTGAAACTCTCCTCTCCTCTCCTCCAGGCCTGGCTAAATTCTTCCATAACGGTGTTAGTCTGAGGAAGGATGCAGTGTCAGCCAGCATCTGCAGAGTGCAGCGTATCCTCCGCTGGTTTGAGTCCCAGCACCAACTGACCTTCTACGCCAGCTCCCTTCTCTTTGTCTACGAGGGCCTGCCCTCGTCTTCCTCTTCCCTTTCTTCCCCTTTTAGCACCCCTTCAATCGGCCCAACCACGGGGAAAACTGCCACATTGTCATCGCCGAGTGACAGCAGCCGTGGTGGGGAGGGGAAAGCAAGGCAGGAAGGGGCAGGGCAAGAAGAGGAAGTGGCAGAGTACAACAACAACAATATTCAGGTGTCCGTGCCCTGGGACTACAGCCTGGCCACCATTTACACCAACCACACAAAAGGTGGCCACCACCACTGTGCCAAGGGTCATCTCCATGGCAACAGTGAAGACGGCAATGCTGTGGAGACGACAGTGAGCTCGGTTTCTGGAGATAACCTCTCAGCACTGTGTGAAGAAGACAACTCTGCATGGAAACGGACAGGTGAGCCGCAGCAACCGCCAAATGGAAACGGAAACAAATCACAACTGGAAGGGAAAGACGAGGATGGAGAGAGCGAGGACAGCGGCAGGGGGAGGAGGAGAGAGGAGGAGAAGCTGAAAGGACAAGGGGGTAACGCAACGGAGGGGAGCAGAGGAGACACAGAGGTGGAGGTCAGGATGATCGACTTTGCCCACGTTTTCCCGAGCGAGAGCCACGATCACGGCTACATCTATGGTCTCAAGCACCTGCTGACAGTGCTGGAGCAGATCCTCTGTGAGGCCGTCTAGAGCTCTCCCTCCTCCCTACCTTCTCTGGATCTCCTGACCTGCTCAGTAAACCACTGTCTCGCCCCGTCAACCCCTTCTTTCTTCTCAAAAGATAGAAACCTTCCGAGGAGAGAGGGAAGAATCAAAGAAGTGAATATTAAAACAGAATCATCATCATCTCACCTGATTGTGATGGTTGGTCAGTCGTGTGTATGTTTGTGTGTGTGTTTCTGTGTGTGTGTGTGTGTGCGCGTGTGTGTGTGTGTGAGCAAAGTGGAGGTAGTAGAGGCTGAAAGCTGTGTTTTCCCTGTGATCAGCAGCACTACATGCACTAATCATTCCATGAAGGCATTACGACCCTGTACTTAAACACAACATCTTCAGCTGCATTTACTGATGCTCGGACGAGTCTTCACTTGACTTCACCTTTAGTCCATCTGAGTCATAGAAAAGAGTTCCACCAACATCATTTTATGCAATGGCCACTGAAATTAGCTGCTAGCTTTCTGTTAAAATTGTATATTGTTACACCTTAAATTAAGGGTGGGCCGGGCAATATAATATACATCAAAGGTGATAGGAAGTAGTCAACCACCAGAGATTTGGTGGGAGAAAGTTGAGCATCAATGTAATACAGTACCTTGGTTTTTCAGTCACGCAATTCACTAAATTAACCTAAAATGTACTATATCTTGACATACATATATATAAGTGCAGTATAAAAATACTTGCACTGTGATATTTATATATTTAACCCCTACCTCAAATATATTTTGACAAAACAATTACAACTCAAGGTCCACTCATGTACCCCTTTTCCACCAAGGCAGTTTGACAGTGACGTAGTCTGGCTCTCTAGCCTATGGAAAAGCAAACTGGTTCTTACAAGGTTCACAAGTTGAACCAACTCTGAACAGGAGCTAGCACCAGCCCAGAGTTAGCACTATTTTGCGTTGGTGGAAAGGGGGTAATAGGGTTTGCTCAGCTGTCACTGTGATGGGCCTGTTGACTCCACTGCCTCTGTTACATTTTTGGCATCTAACATTTTAAGCGCAAACTCGGAATTAGAAATGGATCGGGATTTATGTGGCTGATACAATCCATTATATATATATATTTTTTTAAAGTTAGATTAAAAATATTTTTTTTCTGTCGAAGTCAATCAGTGAGCGAGATTTGATGATGACGTGCTATTGGACTATGCCGTCTGCCTAAAAACGTAAACTGTTATACATAGCACAATTAAATTCATTCTGATACAGCACTCAAAACTTCTTTCTTTTATCCTGGGCATCTAGCTAATGCTCATTCACAGCGTCGTGTTGTCTAGTCTTACTTCCAGGTCGTCAAATACCCACGTTTTGATAACCTGGGAGCAGAACACCGCCTGTTTGTTTCCATTTACCATAACCCAAAGCGACGGTATATGACGACCTGGGAATGAAGCTCAGCAATCAACTATGTTTCTCCAGAAAGACTGACCCCTTTAACTGGATGCGGTTCATTTAGGTTTACTTGAACCATGTCAAAGTACAAACAAGCCAGGGCTGAGAAACAGAATTCATTGGGCTCCCTCGAAACCAACAGTTCAGTTAGGATTCAGGATGGCCTTTTGAGGGTTAAACTGTGGGCATTGGGTAAAAAACTATAAGTCTGCAGAGTGTTGAGGTTTAAGTCGGGTCGTCATTTTTTTTGTTTAACCACTGTCTACAGGTATCTAACTCAGGTAAATTTACTGTAAGAAAAAATGCTTATTATTACTACTATTCTCCTCTCAGCAAGATGATCCTCATGCTGTCTGGTTGTTTTATATAGTCTTACTCAATGTGTATCTTATCTCATGATTGACCTTATCTCATCAATGTTCATCTTGAGTCATGAGTGCTTAACCTTACAATGACCTTACATGTTGTGTTATCTTATGCCATGGCTGCTTTAATTGTTGTACATGTTGGGCTGCCAAATCACCTCTCCTTTCTGAAGCCCGTGCTCTCTGTTGTGTTTATCCTGGTTATTTGGTGCCCCTCTCCCCCTTTTCTGCCCTAGTTTTAGGAACGAGATTATATTGTTGCTGATATATTGCTGCCATTCCTTGTACTTCCAGTTTTTTCTTTTAGAAAACTATACTTATATCAAAAGGTAGTTCTTTGCTCATGAGTGTGTGGGGCTTCAGTGCCATTGCTCTAGCAGTAGACATGAGGTATTCTATCATTTTAAGTTATTTTATTGTAATTAATTGATTTATAATTGGACAAAAATAGGAACATCAACCATTCCCCCAAACTCTGAAGAGATGATTGTTTGAGAGTTTTATTTCCTTGTAATCTGACAGAAGCGACACACTATATGACCCATGACGTGCTATGATTATATTTATATGATATAACTTCCCTATGGATTTAAAGATTGTAGTAAAAGATATATTTGAAACATGCTGCTTTAATGGAGTCAGCTGACAGACTCACCAGAGAGTGACAATGCTTAAGAAAGAAAGACAGCGACTGAATGGTTTCATGTTTTATTTTTTGTTTATTTTTTTAGGGGGTAGAAGGGGGGGTCCTTTTTGCGTGGTGCAGATAGGCAGAAATGGACTCATCAGTACTGGTTGATAGTAAAACAGAAATCAGCAAGTCCTTCTTATAGTAATCTCAGTTGGAGACGAGTCATATCTGCTAGGGTTGACTGACATGGGTTTTTAGGCTGATAAAGCTGCAGCTATTCTGTATACATTGGTATAATGTGTTCTGTCAAAGGTTTAGTGAAACTGTTTAAAGACCAAAGCTTCCAACTGAAACCGATGATATTCATTTAGCTGACTTATAGAAGCCTTAAGCAGCTTTGGCCCCAACACATTTTTTGTCTTGTCTCCAGATAACAAAGTGTTAAATTGCAATCATGACTTCATTATCTCCTTATGTCCAGAAAACAGATTGACCCTTCCTAAGCTCCGCCCCTTCTTCCAGTAGCAGTTGACCTCTGTAAGAACCTCAGTCAACTTCCTCCTTTCCTGTACTCAGATATGCTATGTGCTAGGCTAATCTACAACAACAACAACCACATTTTGAAGATGGTCAGAAGATAGAAGCGACATGTAGTCTCATCTTAAATTAGATAACGTTAGCAAAAAGAGCGAGCTAGCTAGCTAATCTACATCAATTGTTAGCTAGCTAGTTAGCTAGTGTTTCACTCATCGACATATAAAAGATCTCCTCTTCCTCTGTACAAACATTACACCACAATATCTCCGATATGGCCACTGACATCTTGAACCACCTACAATGACAGAAACCATCTTTGTGAAAAATCTATTTGATGTGTAATTAGATTTTTTTAGTTTGGCCCATGTCCCATCTGCTAACATGGAGGCAACTGACTTTATGACCTATACTGCAGTCAACCACCAGAGGGCGATCAAGATGTTTTGGCCTCACTTTTGGAGAGCTAAAACATTTTCCATCTTTCTGTCAGTGGTTTCACTACATAGCAAAACGCTAGTAAAATCATAAACCAAATCAATAAATGATCAATATGTTGCAGGGCCAGACAGCTTGTTAGAATCTTCACTAATGCACCACGATAAACTATAATAATACTATAATAATATCCAGCCCTGCTTTCCAGTGTGATGACAGCAAATGTGTCTTTACACACTAGGACAAATAAGACATTTTAATGATTTGATAAGTCAGCTCAAGATGGTGGACTGTGTGTTTTTAAGGTCATTTGCGGAAAATTGTTTTATCATCTTTAAATTCTAAGCGGCTGTTTTCATCCCACTGTCTGGTCTTAAGGTGTCTGTACGGGTTTGCTGACTCCTCTGTCTGCTCTCTACACTAACACTGGAGCTGCTTTAAAATGTGATGTTTAATCTCCAGTACAAGCCCACTTTTAACCAATAATATGCAGAGGCCTCTTTAGTTTATGTAGCGTGTAAAATATGAATATAATGAACAATAAGAAGCTCCTGATCTTTTGTAAATTAACTCGATTAGATGTATTTTAATCTGAACAGAAAGAGACCGTGAACTATTGGAATATAATATTTTCTATAACATTGTATTGTTTTGTTTTAATAAACTTGATCCTTTGTTTGAAATAATCAACGTGAAAGTTAAGGAGTCATTTAAAGGATGTTTACAGGGGTTAGAGGATTGAGTTTTTTTTTTTTGATCACTGCCTTACTTTCTGTTGATGTCTCCATGTCTCTGTGTTTTGAATATTGATTATTGATCATTCCGGCAGCTTTGTGAATCTCCTCCTGTTGTGTCATGGCTAACTAACCGAAACCATATCATGCATTTGTATACAGGGCATTGTTGATGGCATTGCTTTAATAATTGACTCACAGTGATGCAACCTTTGACCTAAACTCCCTTCAATGTTACTGAGACATTTGATTTCAGTGTAGGTGGGCACATTTACCAACAGCACATTCAACAGGTTCCCTTATACTGAACTTTAGAAATATTATCAGCACCAATGTTTTAGTCTATTTAAATGTTTCCCTGTTGGACCACTGACATGTTTTGCATGTTTATCTCATTTATTACATTACAGGATTCCTTCTTTACATTACAGCCAATCAACTGAAGCAGAGCAGAGTGTTTTAGATTGCTGAATATGTTTTTCATTGATTTCCATCCCACATTGTGTCTGCCTTTTACAATCTTACAGTCAAATGTCTCAGTCACTGGATTACCACAACAGTAACATCACAATCATAGAAGCAAGATGTCCACAGCGGAACCTGCAGTGTTCCATCTGAATAATGAACCCTTCCTAGGCCCCGGCCGGAAACTGGTCCACTGTCTCCTGTCCTGTACGTAGATACATAGATACATAGATACGTAGATACGTAGATACATAGATACATAGATACGTAGATACATAGATACATAGATACGCTGTGTGCTGTGTTGAAGATGGTTGGGTTGAGTTACGTTAGCTTATGTTAGAAAAGGCTTTGCTAACTAGCTAGAAAATCTACATCAATCATGTGCTAGCTAATTTTGCAAACATATCAGAGAACAAGCAAGCTAACGATTAATGCAGATTAGTTAGCTAGCATTTTACTCTGCAGCGAATGCTAACCAGCCACCTACCTAGAACTAATGATTGATGTGGATTAGCTAGCTAGTCTTGCGTTTTGCTAACATTAGCTAACTTGAGATGTGATTTTATATATATATAATATATATATATATATAAATTATATATGTATTATATATATATATAGGTTTCTTTTATCTTTTCAACATAGATTAGCCTAGCACATCACATATCTAAGTACAGGAAAGGAGAAAGTTGACCGAGGCTTGCCGCCCTGGTATTGGAGGACAGAGCAAAAAGGGGGCGGGACTTAAAAAGGGTCCATTACAATTTACAGTGTAGGCCTTGGAATTATATGAATTGGTAAAATAATCAATTAAAAAAACCTCAGTCAAACAGATGAACACATTTGTATTTAAATGATACAGTAAGAGTGTAATGAATAATAAAAGGTCATTAGAATTGCCAGTTAGTCATTTTGTTACCTTATTCTGTTGCTTTTAAAATGTAAAATTAAATTGCAACATGAATTGTAAAGACTTAAATTTTTATTGTTTTTCTATTTATTTATTTGTCTGCCTATCATATGGACTTGACATTCATACACTGATGGCAGACGGCTGCTGTGTGAGGTACCACACTACTATGTGTGTATACAACACTGATGAAATGACAAGTGTAAATGTTACAGCAGGAAATATGGTGAAATGTAATATGGTAGGCAGACACACAAGGGGACAGAAAAATTAAATCAATTAAAGACAGAATAAGTATATAGAATGATTGATTCATTTGGTGATTAAAACTACTTTTTAATTGGAATTTTATTATGCAACATTTTAATGTGAATCAGTTGATTAGAATTAAACTCTTAGGCCTATGCTTATTTGAGTTGCTTATTACAGTGAAGTGGACAGACACCAATGGCTGTCTAGAGAGCATAAGATAAAATTCAAAGTATATGTAATTTGTAATGAATGAGTTAAAACATGCATACTAATGTGGTTATTTAGACCTTAACCGGCCTCTACTGCAGCCTGAGCTGCAACAACACAGACCTGTCCCACACTCCCCAACCACCATGTCACTTTAAATGTAATATTTTAACCCAAATGGAACTAGAATGTGTAAAATGTGGATAACTGGACTGTCAGGAAGATTTTCTGTCTGTTCATCTTGTGAAGAGTGACACTGCCCACCTGCTCTGCCTCGAAATGTCTCAGTATAATGTCTGGATGCACCTTTATCCATACTGGAAACTGATGTGACACAATTTCTGGTGATACCTAGAGTCTAGTTGTAGAACATTTACTAAATATCTGTCCTATCAGAATGGACCACACTGACTGGGCCAGACTCACTCATGAATATAAAACATGAGCAGATGTTCAGCTGTGGTTCTGGTATTTATGCTTCTGTTTTTCTGATGATTCGGATGCAAAATGTCAGATTAGATGAGAGTCAAAGTGAATCTGTTGGCTCTGGCTGTATGTCACTCTCTTTATGTGCTCCATTCATCTGTTTACATTTCAGTTGCTCTCATGGCTAAGAACAGGATTTCTGTTCTCTATCTCCAGGACTTTAACAGGTTGTTAGCTGTAAGTTTGTTTATCTTTTGTTTTTATTTGCAGAGTAATGGAATGGCCCATTTATGACTCCTGTTTTACAGATTTGTTTCTCCTTTGAACAAAATACCCAACCAGTCACTCTCCATTGAAGGACTATACAATAGTGTGATATGTTTTCAACCATTAATCAATAATCATGTACATTACTGCCAGCCATTTTCAAAGCATGCTGTACACTGCAAAATCTCATTATCAGTTATATTAAATGAACTCTTCTTTCAGCAGCATCATTAGATACCGTAATCATGTAGTTCTCACATTTAGTCACTGTCACTCGTCTAACTTGAAATGGTGAGTTGACTAAATATCCAGCTGATTCACTCACATTAATTGTTGGTTGTTCAAAAACATTGCATTTGCTTTCAAATCTGCAGGAAGTTTTTTTTCATCATTTGAAGAAAGTTACATGATGGATGCTGTGGTATCATGAACAATTAGACTTGTTTTAATGACAAAACAATGTAATTGACCCTTCCTAAGCCCCGCCCCTTTTGGAACCTCAGTCAACTTTCTCCTTTCCTGTACTCAGATATGCTATGTGCTAGGCTAATCTATGTTGAAAAGATAACTACATTTTGAAGATGGTTAAGAAATAAAAGCAACATACATAGTCACATCTCAAGCGTTTTGCTAACATTAACAAACTATGTATTTTTTTAGTGTGGTTGTCTTTTCAGCATAGCATATCTAACTACAGGACAGGAGGACACTGGCTGAGGATTGATCCTTGCTCTATTATTGGAGCACAGAGCAAAAAAGGGGCGGGGCTTCTGAAGGGTCATTTGGAAATTAAGCCCAATTGGAAATTGCATATTCCAAGTCGGTTAGAGTAAATATACCAAAGTGAAAATTAAAAGTTGTGGCTTAAAACTACAAGTTACTGATTTGGAGGACTTTTGTTTCCTTGAAATATTGACTTTTCCTTAATTTTTTTCTTTTTACAGTGTACGTTTTAGATTGATATCCTTACTTTATTTCAAAATATTTCGAAAATCATCTTGCAGAGATGTATTGTATGAAGTTATTTAAATATTTCTTTACTTTTGAGTTGCAGTAATACAGGGTTAAATACTCCAAAAGTTTTTCATTCAATTGTGATTTTATCACGTTATCGCTATTAACTACCTTTAGAAGAGTCACAAAGGAGAAACTACTGTAAACGCTGCAGCACATTCAGAGTAACTGCAATTTTCATGGATCAGTCTAAAACCTGATGGGATGCTTTGAAAAATGGACAGCAGTAATCAGAGTAAATGGGGTAAAACATTCAAAGCCAAGTGTGTTTCCTCAATGGGGTCTAGGAAGGAAAGGGAGGAAGTCATAATGGGCCACTAGCGTCTTCTCAGCCAATCAGAATCCTTTGCTTTCAGATAGGACTACAACTGAAACCCTTTGACTTTCCTTGGGTTTCATTCTAAAGCTCCTAATGCTGCATTTGTCATATGGGAAGAACCATCTCAAGAGTTCAAACAAGCTCACACAATAAATCATATCTTTCACTACATCTATCAGAGATCTTCACTAACCTAAGCTGTATTCACCAGCTCAAAGCTGCGTTTTTAGAATATCTGTACCGTTGACAAAAAGGCAGCATTAGGGGAAGAAAAAGTCCACACACAAACTAATTATCTCTGCTTCTGATTGGTTTAATATCCTCCAACCTTTCTTCTGGGTGAGAACTTTTGCTTCACTTAAGTGTCTTTGTGTGATGGAAACTTTGAGGTGTAAATGTACAGTGATGCTGACTGTGGAATGCTGTTGAGGTGGTGTAAAAGCTGAGCAGTGTGAATGTTTGTGGCATGGTGTTGTCGGGCTGCCGTCATGAAAACAAAACCTGTTGAAGGACTGAAAGCCGACCAGGTCTGGTTCAGCTTCTCTTCCACTGTTGGATTTCTGTGCTGACGAAGATATCCAACTCAAGTCCAACACGTGGAGTTTAGTGAGGAACTGGACCTGGTCTGCCCCTGTTGAGCCCTGTAATGGAAACTGAGCTCTTAAACTCCTCATTGTGGATTTTGAAGAGTGTTTGATATACTGGATTTAACGTCTAACAAATGAGCCTGAAGCAGAACAGAAAATATCATCAGTGTACATAAAAAGAGGAAAGAGTAAAGTCCCTCTACAACTACAAACCTGATACTTATTATTTTTTCAACAATAAAAATATTAATCAAACAGTTTGCTGAGCTGCTGTTTCTTTTGTATTTTAAATTGTTTTGTGTTTCATTTGAGAAGTTATCTGACTACCAGGGGTGAATCGCATCAATCATTTAATTATGTGTTGATTTAAGTTTTGTAACATATTATTTTTGTATTTAATCTAAATTTGACAAAATCTGACACCAAACTGGCAGCTGCCCCTCTAGACTACTTTGTGTTTTCTCATAGCTCTTTATAATTTTAGACCACTGTCTCCCTCTCTCCATGAGTACCCGATTTCACTCATGTCCAAAACTCTGGTCTTCGGGCTTAAAGCACTAATGGGCACCAATTTTTGGTGCCAGATTGTGGATTTTAGTATATAAAGCAACATGGATTTTAAACTTATCATTTAACCTCCATAAAGGATAATTTTATCTTAATTTAAAGATCCCCTCCAGACATTTCTCATGGCACGTATAGTCTAGTTGGAACAATGACGTGTCTGATATGTCTGTTCTGCAAGAAAAAAAGTAGAATTTTCACATTAAAATGCTTAAAAAGCCATCTACTCCTACCTCATTAAAGATCCCAGAATCTCTGATTCTGATTCAACTTCTTTACTCAAGTAAAAGTGAAAAAGTACAGGCTCTGAAATGTACTCAAGGTATAAGAATAAAAAGTAGTCTCTGAAGGACATTTGTACCGGCTGTTTCTGTCCAAAGCTAACTGAACCTTCATACAGGGTTGAGATTTCTCTGGTTTGTTTGGACCTGTAAGGGACTTTATATCAGAGGGGAGGGGCTGGATGAGGTGTGAGTTTTTTTATTGTGGCTACGTGGAAACACATGACCCTTCCAATAATTTTGTTTATTAGCACACCATGACTCTTAAACCTTGACCCTCTGACCCCCCTTCTCTCATCGGAAAAAAATTACTAGCCCACCTTACTGTGTCCTCTCCTGTAGTACTGCAAACATTATCGATGACAATTCCAGCTCTGAGACAACAATAAGATGCTAACGTTAATGATCCGACCAATGAAATGAGGAAACAGCACACAGGGAGAGAGAGTGATCACCAACACATACAGCTCATTTCTTAAGCACAATGAAGATTAATGTTTTTCTAAATTATAAAATAAATTATCATTATTATTAGTTTGTTTCAGAACTTAAGAGTTTGACTTGAAGCTAAACAATTTAAAGACAGTTTTAAAGACAAGCTTTTATTTTTTTTTGCAGTGTAATAGTGGGGATGTAGTAAATTGCAAACTCTAAATTAGGATTGTGAAAGGTTGTCTGTCTAGGTGTGTCAGCTCTGTGACACACTGGTGACCTGTCCAGGTGTACCCTCACTCACATCCAAAGCATGCTGGGATAGTTTCCAGCCCTATCCTTTTAGAGGATAATAGGATGGATGGATTTATAACCATCAATGAACACACATACAACAGAGGTGGAAAATGAAATCACTGTATTAGTCACATAGCCTTAAGACTTTTGACGTGCCTGAGTTGAAGAATCACAGCAGTTCCAATCATCAAAATACAAAAATAGCATTTATACAATATAGAAACCAATATTGTGCACAGAGAATGTTTGTTGGTACGTTATGAATGTAAGCCGTGCTTGCTAAAACCCTAAAAATAATTATTATCCTCCCAAAACTTTTAAATTGTCCTTAACTAAACATACAATTACCAAAAAGAAAAATCACTTCTGTAATCCAAAACAAATTTGACTCAAATGTGAAATACACAATGTTTTCTCAGTGTTGGATTTCAAATCTATGAGTTTCATATAAAAATATATTTTTTTAAAAAGGAAAAACTATCTAGGGACAACAAGACGTACAATTATCTGCTAAAGTGCACCGTGAGCCAATTTGTCAGAGAAATTACTCAGCATTAAACAAATCCCTCCGTTCAGAAAACCTTTGCAGAAACTCATTGTTTAATGGTCCAATCTCACTGCCCACATAAGCATGAAATTGTAAATTAAGTAGAGAATTGTTATGCTAGATCAAAGACGTCCACATTGTTTGGTAACTATGGTACTAGCCTACTTGTTCTGATGATACTTGGTGCAATGTCTCTGAAGCACTCAGTCCTGTCAGTTGTTCTGCTCAGACCAAGACAGTGCTCAGATTAACTTTAAACAGATAGGCATGATAGTGTCAGTTTCTGAAAAAGGCATCTCATAAATGGAAAAGGCTTCCAGGAAGTCCAACATCTCAATGCACATCTGATATCTGCAGTTATAGTGTAGTAGCTGTAAAGGAACAGTTCAACATGCCACAACGCCTCTATTTAGAGCATGAGTTAGAGTGTTTGGTTTCTGGGCTACTGTAAAAATATGGCGCTTCAACATAGCAGACCTCATAGAAGAGGACCCACTCCCTCTGCAGATACAAGCAGCTCATTCTAACAAAAACACAATTCTTATTTTCATGTGATTATACACTAATGAAAACATACCTACTTGAAAGAAAACAAGGTCGGGATCTTGCCCTCGGGTCTTGAAAAGATCCGCTGAGTCAAAAACAGTACCAAGAGATGTACACATGAAATTCTACATGAAATCAACACCTTCACAGTCTCACGTAAGTCATTAACATGTCTTAATTGTCTTTCCTTCTGCTATTTAATAAGGCAAGATTGGATATTGATCAGTGTGAATGTAAAGTGAAAATCATTTTTTCCTAACCCTACAGGATGCACAACTATTCATCACTGATTTTACTAAAAGTGCAAAAACATTGTTCCTGTAAATTCAGGCTGTTGGATTTTCTACATGAAAATGTTTTGGGATAGTCACGGAAAACTGGAGGTGGAAGACATTCTTCTTGCTGCGAGTTTTTCCAAAAATGTAGTCTCTGCCCACTATAGTCTCTTCAAGGACTGCGGGTAGTACTTGAGGAAGATCCTGTGGGCAATCTCATACGTGTCTCCCTGAGGCTTGGTCGGGTATTTTCGGTTGTTGTAGATGAATCCCTTTTCTACCTGGAAAACTGCCTGGTTGAACGTGTCCTGCTTGAATGGTCGTCCGCTGTCCATACACTCTACGAGGGTTTGAACAAACAGGCCCCACCGCTGGGCGTAGTAGTCCTCCATGAGACCTCCCCACTCTTTGCTGGCGTAGTCCAGGATCTCACCACTCGGACCCCATAGAGTGAGCTGGTTTCTGGCGTTCATATCATAGAGCTTTGCCTCCTTCTCATCTATGGCTAAGGATCGGGCCTGCTCCAGCCATGTCCCCAAAAGGAAGTTGCGGTCGCTACTCAGCAAACGATTGAGCTCAGGCAAGAGGTCATAGACCAGAACCCCGCCTGCAGTCAGCAGCTCTGGTAGCTTTTGTTTCTGGAAGGCTTCTGCAATATCCTGGTAAAAGGATGTTGTCAGGACTTGTAGGACCTGACGAGTCACATCAACAAGATCGTATCGGAAGGTCTCCTTGGACATGAGAGATGGAGCCGCCTCAATAATCAGTTTCCAGGCTTTGCACAAGTCAGCAGGGTCATACCAAATGCCAGTATTCATGCGAAGAGAAGGCCGACGCACCAGCGGGCTGTGGTTGTGGTTTCGGTAATGTGGCACTGTGCAGTTGTAGACGCTGGTGAACAGGAGCCTCCATGCAGTGGTCAGGTTCTCTTGGGTGCTGCCGTAGCGGCGAGCTGCATACAGTGACGCCCACTTTGACAAGTTGACCGGCTCCTTGCGCCAAGCCAGCTCGCTCATCAACTCGAACATCACAGGATTCTGCTCAATGCCCTCAGGTGTCATGCCTATGCCCACCAGGGTGGAGTTTGGGAAATGTAAGGCTTTGAAAGGCCCTGAATTGATGCTCTCCACAGTGCCAAAGAATCCACTGTTTCCCCCAAAGTTTTGCAGCATGCACCAGATGAAGGGCTGTCCATAGAAAGACTCGGTGTAGGAGAAGATTGGCTCGGTCTCTGCAAACAGGTCCAGCACGATCATCCTTCCAAGGGGCACTCCGTGTAGTAGGGCCTGGATCTGGGCTGGCTTCCAGAACACTGCATCACTGAAGAAAAGCCAGCCTTGCATCAGCCAAATTGCCTGAGGATCAACTAGGGAGAAAAATTTGTTTTGGATGAGTGACAAGAAAGGCACAGTTCCCTAAAATGGCTGAAAATCAGCAGGGAGCTCGAGGGGGGCTGTCTGTGTAACAGAGTGGGACAACAGGTCATACATGGGTCATCTAACTAGGGCGATTATTGTACTTCTAAACTTGACGATGCCTGTCTGAATGCTGACATTGTTGGTAACAACAACTGTTCATCACCCAGACACTCACCTGCGGTCATTGAGGCAAAGACAGAGCGACTAACTGCAGACAGGTAGGCGGGGTCAGAGGATGGTGGAGTCATCTCATTGAAGGTGTCAGTGTTGTAGATGTGATCTGTACCAAACTGCTTCACCACCTGGGACAGATAGAGGGAACCGATTTGGAGGAAAAGTGGGTCCCGGGGGTCTAAGATATAGGAGCATGAGAAGCTGCAGTTGAATTGAGCCCAAGGCCTCAGTCTGGTTACATTGGCATCCGGATACAACCTGAAATACAAGCAACACTTCTGTGATTCAAAGGTTTTGACTCAAACATTTACCTCTATATGCAAAAGTAGCACTACTGTCAGTGGCCTTTGGTATAGCAGCCGATCACTCCATTCTTTTAGGTAGACTTCACAGTCTGGTTGGCCGCGCTGGTGCTGTTTTTAGTTAGTTTAAATCTTATCTTAACGATAGAAACTGAAATTTTAGGTCCTACCCATGCTGTCACTTTATTATTATTATCATTATTAGAAAGCACAGCATCAATTTCCATAGCTATGGTGACGACACAGCTTTACATTGTCACATCCAGATGACCAATTGGTACAGCTCAGTCAGGACAAAACTGAAGTCTTGGTCAACTCAATGTGAAACTACAAGCACAGGCATTTAACCCTTGAAAAACTGTAGGAGTTATCTTTGATTCAGATCTTAGTTTTGATCATCACATTATAAACATAACTGAGAATGCATTTTATCATCTTAGGAACATTGCCAGAGTGGGACCGTTTCTCTCAAGCCAACAGAGACACTAATGCACCTGTGGGATTGACTACTGTAATGCTCTACTTTAAATAAAACTGGGGTTTAATGTGACAATACTAGGCCTTCCGATAAAAGATGTGACCATTTGTTAGCTCTCCTGTATTGTCAATAAAAATTCCTGGAAAATGATTTCTTAAAAAGGAAAGGGAATCCAGACATTTTTTTTGACAACCTCTGTGTTCAGACACTGAGGTTGCTACTAACTAAGCCACTAATAATCAATGTTAAGTCTCTGATACCTTGTGAATAGAACAGTATCATTCAGAAAGGCTGAAACATTAACAAGCATGAGTCACCTGAGGATTCCCCTGGGAATGTTCCCAGAGAAGGCTGGCAGCACAGGAACCATGCCAAAGGATCTCATTCGCTCCAAGATTTTAAACTGCAAAAAGAAAGGAAATGTCATGTGACAGGATTCATTCCAAATTCCTCAACAAACATTTCAAATATACAGATGATCTCTAAGTTGCAACAGAAAGCCAAGACAGCAGTGTAAATATGACCCACAGTTTATAGACCACTTCCTGCCTTAACAATGAGGAATTGATCTTCCTCATTCATTGATCTTTTTTTGTAGTGATGATGTATCATTTGTGAATGAGTCTGCTCTATGAGCACATATAATATCTATGTGCTAAACGGCTAATAAATACATAGCTGTTAGGCCACAAGGCGCACCCAGACCCTGTTGTAAGCAGTTCTTGGTTCTAGACCAGCAGTGTTGGTTTTATGCTGGAACCAGATTTCCTGACTTAGAGATGGTTCTTTGGTTCTTGAAATGCAAAGAATAAGGTTTGAGATTAGACACTGGCTCCAAACCAGCCCATGAATGTTTCACCTTGGTAATAACATTATAATGCACCGGTTGCCAGCATACAAAACATAGTTCAATATAAATAAAAACGTTCAATACACATGTAAATGTATTTGCATTACTTAAGGTTTTTATACCAAGCATAATGTCAAATGATGGTATTCTGAAAATGATATGGTTTCGTATAATCACAATAATTTGATAGGGATATGTGCACACATACCAACCATAGGTCAAAATATTGTCAACTTTGGCGGAATTATAAAAGCCAGAAGTTGTACTAAGTGAAGAGATGTTTGGGAGCTGAAACCCGGCTCTTATTACTGAGTTGAGCCAAATGATCTGGATCACTGAAAAGAAACCTGCGGGTTTTATTGTAATTGTAGCAATGTGTTTTAAGAAGTATTACTTTTGCACCTATAATGTTATCATAAACAATAGGAAATGCCTCAATAACTAGAAAAATAAGACCCAAGTTGTGATAAACTGAAATTAACCTTTAAGAATGTTTATACTTCAATTTCAAAATACTGTTCAATCTGAAGGTTTGTGAATAGTGCAGTCTACGTGCTGCTTTCAGCCCATTCATTCCTACACTGTGTCAGAAATGTTGCTGATCCTACACATAGTGGCTTTAAACTGTTTTGACGAGCATGGAGGTTTCAGTACTTGGAGGTAGAGCTGGTTCACGTGCCAGGACTGTGGCAGAGGCCCACCAAACTGGAACATGTTTCCCATACGGTTCCAGGCAAGAAATGCTGGGCCAGAGAAGAACTCCTCGATCTCCGACTGGTTTAACCCAAGAGCTCTGTAAACCTAAAGGAACACAAAAGGTTACTACGTTGATATTCACATGCTGCTGTGCATGTCAACTTATGTTTTGTCATTCAAAGGTCACATTAGAGAAGTTAGAAGTTTCTCTTCCAGCTCTAGTCTTAATGACCCCCATCTCCTGGAACTGCTTCCTCTTCAATTTTATCTTCTTCATCTTATTGCTCTGAGAATAATCCATATATCTTGATGGACTTACTACAAAAATAAATCTACTTCTCATCTACGTCAATATGTAGCAATTTTCTGCCCAACATGGCTATTTTAGAAGCACAGAACTATTTGCTGTTACATCTGTTCCACAATATGTATATATACATACATATCGGCTGTGGCTCAGAGGCAGAGCAGGTCGTTCCTTAATCGGAAGGTTGTGGGTTCGATCCCCGGCTCCTGGCTCCTATCCTTGAGCAAGATACTGAACCCCAAATTGCTCCCGATGCTGTGCATGAATGTTAGTTTCTGTTCAATGCCATCACTGTGTGAATGTGTGTGAAAGGCATGTATGTAAAAGCACTTTGAGTGGTCGGCAGACTAGAAAGGCGCTATACAGGTACATTTACCATATACCGGATTTTTAACAGTGATCCCGTGGTTTAATGTAGATTCTGTATAGAATATTTGCTCACACCTCTTGCCACAGAGCTTCTTGGCCAGTAAAAGCCAGCGGCAGATTGATTCCATTGAGAGCCATCCAGTCGATCTCTCTCTCCCATCTTGGCCAGTCCCACCACACAGTGGAGTAGCTAAAGGTGCAGACATTCTGGTAATACCGGAATCTAGATACAAACAAAAATAGATTGTTTATTATAAAATGAATAGCTAAAAAATGTATTGTGTTCAAAGGAGATAATATGCCAAAAAAAAGAAAACAACCAAGAGAAACTAAATGACAAAAATATTTGCATTAGGCTAAAAAAATGCAGTGTTATTCTATATTCAACTGTAAAAAGCCGAATAAGTGCAAAAAGGTATTCTGCTTTCCATTTTTGTCACAGTGGCACCTAGTCCTTATTGTGTTTCTTGTGTATTATCACAAGATTTGAGTCACAGAGCAGTGTCTGAGTTAAGAAATCTTAATATTATATACTGCTCCACGTTGGACTTCAAATGAGGGTTATGAGGGTTAGAGTAAGTGCGTTTCAGGCTGAAACCTCTTGCATCTGGAGAACAAAGACAAAACAGAAAATGTGTCACTGTCCAAACACTTAGTGGGAGGAGCCGGGGATCTAACCAATAACGCTCCGAATGGTGGACAACCCGCTCTACCCCTGAGCCACAGCCACCCAATTGCGACTAGAAATGTGAAAATATAGAAAATAGGAGAAAATATATTTTGTAGATTTTCTGTCTGAGAAATAAAAGAATCCTTGTAAGTCTTAACTTGTCTTCAATCTCATTTTGTTAAAAAGAAAAAAGGGAGAAAATCATATTGTGAACTTTAATCGTGAAATGAGTGTATCGTTACATCCCTAGTGGGATGTAGTAAACATGAAGATGAAAAGACGGAGGTCGCCATTTTTGTGAGAGGTGGTGTCTGAATGATGCAGGGGCCCTGGAATCTTGGCTAAAACATGAATCTCAAAACCACGATGCAGTTTCATGGACAGTAAGAAATATTTATGGCTGGTACTTTTTGCTCAGTTTCCATGCCCATCTGATAAAAGTCACAAATACTACTATTCCCCCTCATAAGTTACAGTCATGGGAAAACTAAGCCATGCCATTCTTGCCATGGCTTTTTCAATCTAGCTACTGTGCACATGACATAACTGGGGTGAGCTGATGCGGGTCTAATGCAGATAATTGAAAGGAAGGGTCCTTTAAAGGGCCCGGCTGCGGTACAAGTGTCCATAGTGCTCGCAGTAGACAATGAAAAATAACGTGTGACAACGCTTCATTTGTCATGCACCCACGGGTTTTGCTGTGCTGTATTGCAATGGAGGGGGTTAGATGCCCCCCAAACACTGCCATAATAGAATTCAAACACATAGACATATCATTGCATCCTCTTTCCCAAAGTTTGATAGCGCTGTCATGAAAATGCTTTGTGGGCAGCACAGAAACTTTTTAGATGTTTTGAGCTGCTGATACAATCCGTCCCCGCTCCTCTATGGCTGTCCTGGTTACTGAGTAGAATGGCTCCTCTATCTGGTGACGCTGCCACTGACAGGAGTTGGCACACAAACTAATGTACAGCAGAATGAAATGGATTTGGTGGGAAAACAACATTTTCAAAGACGGCGTTTTGCTGATGTCAGTAAAACTGTACTGTTGAATTCTGCAGAGCAAACACACAAACAAAGAAAAGATTTACAAATGCCACAGACACACCAGTCTTCATCTGCAATGGGACAATGATGGAGATCATTATTCATATTTTTTAATGGGAAGTCTGAATTTAGAGGAACATAGAGTCTGGTATGTTGTGCCTTTATAGGTCATGTAATTAATATTTTTATGGCTCATCACCCTCTCTCTACTCTTGAACGTCCATTTTCTCACTTTGGCCCCTAGTCCCCTGTTGTTTTTTGTGTATTATCACACCTGTGGGCAATTTTAATAAAAGATAATGCACTTCTGTGAGGATATAATTAAAGTTTCAGCAAATACGACAAAAAGTTATTATTGTAAAAAGGTACTTATTTTGATAAGAAGTCTATTTGGATATGAACAGTAGAGTGTGAAACCTATGAACAGAACAGTGAGTCTTATACTCTCTCTCTCTTTGGGCTAACTTTTAGCCAAATAAATAATAATGAATTCAAAGTATTCACAATTTTTCGTGGGACCCCAAGGAATACCCTCAAGGACCCATGGGGGTCTCCGGACCTCGGGTTGAAAATCACTGGTCTAAAGGCTCCTCCTTGAAGAATGTGACTGAAGACATGAACCTGGTAGCGTACTGTGTTAAGTTCGATATGCACAGTGTAGCCAGTTAGCTAACGTTAGCACTCATTAACGAACTTCACAAAACCACTCGAGCGCAGTGAAGCGCAGCTCGCGCTCGACCCCCACATCGGTTTCCAGACGGAAACAAACTTTAGTCGGCAGTGTGACAAGTTGCCCATTTCTACGGAATATCAATGAAATAAGCTCTGCTTGATGTACTGGATGTATGCCGAATTAAAAACCTGGTGACCATGGTTCTTTTAACCGTCAATAGCTTTCCCAGTATGCCAACATTAAGGCTCACTGACCTGTGCTGGGTGTTGATGCGCAGGACGCCGGTGAGCTTTGGGAGGGGACTGGGCAGATCCAGCTGGTCACCAGACCAGGAAACATGGCAGTTGCAGAAATATTTCAAATAGTTGTAAATGCCAGAAGCCAGGGCCACTCCGGTGCTGCCTGTAGCGACTATCTTATTGTTTTTAGTGGACCTGAGCTCACACACATCCAGGCTGTCGTTGGAGAGGCTCCTGTTGACTGACACAATGAACTCCGTGGATCTGTTCCCCAGCAGGCGCTTCAGCAGCTCGATCACAGCTCTCCCCTGCGACTTGTCGCTGGCTTTCGGTTTGATGTGGTCTAGAGTAGGAAACTTACAATATGCAGTTACAAAAAGACAGAACACGACGAGCAGAACCAGGCTACAGCTGCTTCTAGGTGACATTTTGATCCCCAGTCAAATAAAGCCAGAGTTTCCCACCGTAGCACAGGTTTAAAAACAACTGTATTTCTTCATTTGCATATAACCAGGAAGCGCTGGGGGTTGAAGGCTTGCTGTCCAATCAGAGAGAGAGAGCTGCTGCCTCGACTGTGACTCACAGCCAATCGAACCAGTTTGTATGAGAAGCCACTGGAAGTCATGTGATCAAACTGTCATATGATGGGAATATTATAGAAGTGGCCTGATGTCAGATTCAAGCTGGATGATCATGTAATGGAAAACACTAAGTGAAAATCTTGTGTGGATCATTGAGTGAACTGCTGAAACAAATCCACCAGGACCACATCCAGGACAAATGGTTCATGTATTTCCTTGTAAAGCCTTCATGCTGTACAGGCTCTTCCACTTTCTGCTTACATAGGCTAGTTGTAATGGCTGTTCAATAACCACAAAACACACATGCATCAGGTGACACCGCTTACATAACAGCTGATAACATAAAATTAAATCTGCATACAGTGCCAATTTTTTTTTTTAAAGATCTTTACTGAGATCACAGACTTCTAATATTGTATCTACAGTGTTAATTGGTTACATGTATTGATTAAATGTAATTAATTATGTGTCCCTGCAGTAGATCCTCCCAAATGTTACACACTGGACCTTTAATATACCGATTAGAAAAATCAAAATGAGATTGGGAACTTCCCTCCCCACCACACAAACACCCACACACACTTGGGCAACTTTAGTCTTTGTCCCTCAATAGTGAATCAATAGGTGAAATGTTGGAATAAACTATTTTGCAATTGGTCAGAAAGTGACTCCACCTCTTTTAAAATATTTATCAAGACAGCAAAAGTCCTATTTATGAATTATCTGGGACTCTGACATCCAGGGAACATGGAACAGCTTCTCTTTTTACTGGCCTTGCTCTGCACTGCTCATGCTGCTCAACAAGGTGAGACTGGCAACAACAGAATAGACAGAGCACTTAGTAAAAACAGGTGTACAGATGTGTTTCTGATCTGAAAGTAAAAGCACTATTTGTTGTATGTTCTGTCTGCTTCTGTGGATTGGATCACGGTAAGGTATGAAGTTCCTAAACCAAGTTGCCACTTTTTCGACATATGTGCTTTTCAATAAAATATTTGACGAATATTACTTTTGCAAAGCTCCTAATGTCTCTGTGATAATTCTGGCTGCAGTTTGTGGTTGCCTTAAATTGCATGGCATTATATAGAAAGGTTTCTATAATTGCTGTAGATTACAGAAGAGGAACCCCTGGATTAAACTACCTATAAAGTATCATCTAAAGCAGTAAAATGCAACATACACATTAATACAGCAGTAATATTAATCCAAAAACATCAGATATAGTGAAACACTGACAGGGAACGTTTTACTGCACTATGACCTTTAACTTACTAATTAACTTAATCTTAATTTTAATGGACGACCACCCACCTAGAGCCGAAGGATCTGTCCTAGGTTTCTGCCTTTTAACAGGCAGTTTTTCCTTGCCCTTGTTGCCAAGGTCTTGCTCATGGTGGTACTGTTGGGTCTCTGTAAATTATGTTATAAAGAGTTCGGTCTAGACCTGCTCTATTTGAAAAGTGTCCTGAGATAACTTCTGTTATGAGTTGGCGCTATACAAATAAAATTGAATTGAATTGAATTGAAATGAAAGTATATTTTGCTAACAATACTAGGGCTGCACGATATGGTATCGATTTCGATAATATTTTGATTAATTGTGCTACCCTAGACAATACGTATGTATTTTACTGAAGTAAGGTTGAATGTATGGCTTTTACTCATAGTGGAGTATTTTCAGTGTGGTATTAGTACGTTTACTGAATGATCTGAATACTTCTTCCAGCACTGTCATGTGTCACATGTCATGATATCTGTTTTTAATAGACCATATTCCTTTATACCATATTAATATTTAGACATTGACCCTAAAAGCATTTCAGACAGTGATACCTTTGAGTACTCTAACCTCCTGTACTGTGTTTCATCATGTGTTGCTGCTGTGTAAACAGTACAAGCCATTTAGACATACACTGAGCAAAGAGTGAAGCTTTGGTTTCAGATGTGGTGGGGACATAAAGATGTCAACAATTCAGCTCAATTCAGGGGTGCCCTGATAGCTCACCCGGTGCCCAGTGTACTAAGGCTGAGTCCCTGCTGCAGTGACACATGGGTTTGACTCCAAACTGTGGCCCTTTAGGGTGTCATCCTCTCTCGTTCCTTATCTAATAAAGTGAAAAAGGCCTTTCATTGCGTTGTCAAAGTTCAAAGTTGGAGATTTTAATAAGGGGCCTTACGGAGATTGACTCACTCCTGGAGCCAGGCTCAAGTGGCCAGTAGAGGAACTGCAGTCACCAAAGGGTGATCTACTTTCTCTAGTTTGGTAGAAGTGTATTCCAAGGTGTGTCAGTGCTATGTGATGTTACTGCTTGGTGTGTTTATAGTTCTGATTTCTCCTGCTTTTTCTTTACAGACCTTTCCGAGAAGGTTTTTACCTTCCCACTGGACAAGGGGGCAGCTGCAGTTAGGCTCACTGCCAGCATTGAGCAGCCCATCACAGCTTTGACTGTGTGCATGAGATTTTACTCCACACAGACCAGACCCCAGTCTCTGTTCTCTCTGGCAGTCCCGTCTGAGTCAAATGCCTTCCTGCTCTACAAGCCCTCTATGGGTGTATACAGGCTGCACATCAAGGGGACAGCTCTTGATATCAAAGGGCTGCCTGATAATACAGACGAATGGAACTCTGTTTGCTGGACGTGGGAGTCCTCCAGCGGCTTGACCACACTGTGGGTCAACGAAAAGCGAAGTGCAAGGAAAATTCTGGAGCGCAGAACCACTCTCAACGGCCCACCCAGTATAATTCTTGGTCAAGATCAAGACAGTTACGGTGGAGGCTTTGACCCAAATCAGTCCTTTGTAGGGGACATCACAGATGTCCACCTCTGGGACAGTGTCATCATACCCTGTGAAATTAGGTTCTATATGGAGGGTTATGCCTTCACTCCCGGAAACCTTCTCAACTGGAAAAACCTGCAGTACTCCACCAACGGCTCTGTGTACGTGGAGAGGAGTGACTTTGATAAACTCACATGCTATTAGACTGCAAAACAGTCAGCTGTGAGGTTTCAAAGTAAAACCAGATAATGTCTAAACAAATAAATGTGGTTTTAGCAGGATTAAAATAAAAAAATCTGTGTTAAATCATTTCAATCAGGAAAGAATTCATTCTGAATGAACAAATATACAGCATACTATATTATCCATAAATGACGATTTTTTTAATGAGGTCTCGACATTTCACATCCATTTCATTAGCAAGTTTCATAATAGTCTCGTTATGGATGATCTGCACAGAGAACAGGATCACACAAACATTATAAACATATATTTAACAAGCTGACCAAAGACACATGCACAGAAACAATGTTTTCATAATAATAGAATTCATCCAAACTAATTTATTGTATGTGTGAACTGGGAGAACTTTAAATTGACAATTGGGTTAATTTGGAAGCCGAGTGTGTAACATTAAGGAGGGTCAAAATCAAATATACCTATTAATATTATATTCCATTTCTGATAATAGATCCTCCTAAATGTTACACACTGGACCTTTAAAAATGCCTGTAGTTGCAGAAACACCCAAACATCAGATCGGACACTCAATAATACACTACTACAACTACTACTACAACACATTACAAATCAATGACAATAAACCACAATGGCACGATTATTTAGAAAAAGGTTTATTTTCATGTCCCGAATCCCAACATCCACCAAATTATAGCAAAAGATGGAAGTTCCCAAACAAGCCACAGACTGTACAGACGCCAGCAAACACACAGCGGCAGCAAGCTAAAAAAACGGAATTACATTGAAGACAAACATTAAAATACATTAAGTTGATCTGAAGACAAACACGAAGTCCAGGCGTACAGAGGAACTGTATAATCAAGAACATCAAATAACTGCTGGTGTGAGCATCAAAGTGCTTGTTCGCTTTTGCTGATTTAGTACACCATCAAAGTTTGTGTTTCAGCTTTTATTTAACAATCTAACAAAAAGGCAAGAGTAGCACGAGTTAGAAAACCGTCCTATCTACACTGGAGACATTTGGTTTATATGGACTCATTTACCTGCATTTCACAGTGACTTTTCCTGAGGTTTACTGTGTGAACTTTAATTATGGGTGAGTTTTGGCAAAGGTATTAGGCGTTACTTGGTCGAGGCTGGTAGTGCAGTGTTAGTGACAATGGCTTTAAAATTTCCTGTATGGGCAGTGCTGTCCCTTAACAATCCACAAGGCACAAGCAGATCTACAGAGCCCCGGTATCTCTAGACAAAGGACACATTTACTGAAGGTTTATTATTTCAAGATTGCTGAGAAAAAAGCTTTGTATATATGCAGAGCAAGGTTCAGCCTGGTCCTGAATGCATCGAATCTGGTTGCAGTTTCAGAAGAAGTGTTGAACACTTGTGACTGAAAGAAGTATAACAGTGTGAGGTAAGTGAATTCTCCCAAAGGAATGCAGTGAGTAGCTTGTGACACAGCACATACTGTACAGAGCTCTTAAGGTTCCAGTTCTCCGGTTCAAGTACCTAGTTTTGAACTGTTCAGAGCATTTCTACCAAAAATAAATTGGTTTGGAAACTGAAAAGCTGGTTCTGAGCTGGAACCACAAAATAGCAGGTTTTTCTTGGGAACCAAAGTGGGCTTGTCATGTTCTACAGGCCCTCTGTTGATGATGCATCCGATTACTATGGTTCCACTCAATTTGTTAAAAACGAGGGGCTGGTTTGCTAGATAGCACCAAGGTTCTAAGAATCTTGAGTAGAAACAGTTCAAGGACCAGAGCTAATGTGATTATTTATATTTATTGACAACATTCAACATTTTATTTAATATAAAAATAACTGAAAAGTCATTTGAATCCTCATGTCTCAAGTCAAGTAAAGAGTCTTTAACTTCCAATTCCATGTCAAGTCTCAAGTCATTAATTTTCTGTCGAGTCAAGTTGCAAGTGATCAAAACAGCGACCCAGTCGAAGTCCAAGTCACAATGACTCAAGGTGGTGTCATGGGGGCTTTTTGCTATGTTGACTATTCTGTTTTGAATATTTGTGTGGAAATCCATGGCCACAGATTGTAACAATGAAACTTTGTTTAAATGAAGTGTTCAGTTCTGTTAATGATTAGTCAAACGTATGTAATTTATACTCTGCTCTGATTGGCTGATGGTCACCATTATGTGCAGCACAAAGGTAAGACAGGTGTTACAGTATTCTATACTGTTTATTTATCTGTGCTTTTATTAGGTATAATTAACTAATTACACTACCTAACCCCCACCCCTTTTATTCAGAAGGTCAGAAGTCTTATTGTTGCAATGAATGAATCTTGACTGTGCATTTCTCTGCTTGCACACATTTCAAATCAGTATTTCTACTTTAGGTAAATGTCTGGCATTCCTTTTCATATTTCCAGGCTTACAATTTAAAACGAATCTCTAAAATATGTAACATACGCACTCCTCATAAACTGAATGAAGTTCTTTTCTGTGGTTTGTCTCGTAAGCAGTGCCAGGAAAAAATCCCTATTATATCCGACTCCATCAAAACCTGGCAGCGGGCTGGAAACTTGGGAAATTGGGATGTGAAATGGCATAAACATACACCAATTTTTAAAACAAATTACTCTGGTATGCTCCGTACCTCCTGGACAAAATGCATTCTCTTTCCCATAATATCAATAGCGAAGGTCTAAGATAATCCTCCATAGAAAATATAATTTACCATAACCACTTTCTTTTATCTACAGCTGAGGTCAGTTGTTGGAGCTTGTGGGGTTCGGTGGGAAGATGCTCTACCCATACATCCCCTCCTCAATTATATAATGAGTTAACCCAAAATTGAGGGCTTTGTATCTTATATGTACAAGAAGTTATGTGCTTGCCAATGGGTGTGACCAAGGTCTAGAATGTTGGCTTAAAAAACTGTCAGGAGTCGATCAAATGAAGAAGACTTTGCTGTGGCCCTCTCATCCTGAAACTACAACTATCAAATGATTAATTTCAAATGTAACAAATCTGACCCCTAGGGAAGGACCAGTTCCAGCTTTGTCCCACACCCATTTGCACATTACAACCTATTTGCATGTAATATGGCTGTGTCCAGATGTGTAGTATTTTTGGTCTAAAGTTTTATGGTAAGTTATTGAGTGAAATAATGACACATACACAAAACCTACCTTTACTGAGCTGTGGACTACAGTTTTTGTTCTTTGTCCTTTATAACTGATGTTTTGGGGGTTTTTTGATAAAGATTTGTGTGTTTTATTTTACCCACGTACCATGTAGGGTGGGGAAGGGAGGAGGGGGAGCTTTAACTGCAGGGGCAAATAAGAGCCCTTTGGTGGGCCTTTGGTGAATGCTTGTATATTTATGTTAAAATGATAGTTAAAATTTTAGTAGCATATCACAGATGTATGTGAAGGCAGACAATTCTCTGTCAATCTAACCTCCAGGACTGAAAAAAAAAAAAAAAAAAAATATATAGGACAAACATTTAGCAAGACACTAAGCATTCACTGACTACAGACTACAACATCTGTATTCAGTAAATTCTGGTACAGTGACATAACGTGATAGAACTGATCTGACATTTTACATTTTAATGTGACAATATTTACTGCTCTTGACATTGAAGTCTAATTTGATTAGGCTGGTAAACTACGAGGGTACATTTGGGGTTAAAATCAGTGAGCAGTTACTGACTTCATGAGACTAAACGATAGCACCTACTGTAAAATTTTAACATTTTGCTGTAAGGCAGTGCAGCACAAGAGCATCAGAGAATGGGTGTAATAGAAGCAATTAAGAAACAATGTTATACAAGAAGCACCAAACCATTGCGGTTACAAATTTGAAATTAAACTATCAGAACTTAAAACCAGACTATGAAACCTTTAAAAGAAGAAATAAAAAGTTGAAGTCATACTTAAACCCACCCTTGTTGAGGACAACCGGTCAGGGGTTGGACTGGAATTGATCTTACAAAACATCTATGATCCCATCCCTCTCCCTAAGAATTACAGCCTCAGGTGACTGAACAAATCACTTGGCTTACCTGACACCACGTGCTGGTGCATTAATCAGTACACGGTCTTAAAAGTGACCTGGCCAGTTTGTCATATAGTTCAATATCATCAGATAGTTAAACCTCAGATAAACCATGTGGGGCACTAGGGTTTAAAAGCTATCCTGTGGAGTTTTCTTGTAAACAAAGTTTCCGTTTCAATCATCAGAACACACAGTGTGTATTCCTGAGAGCTAACTATTTCTGTCCTTGTAAAACACTTTATTTACTACTTATTTAATTTAGCATTTTGAAACATTCCTGCCTTTGCTGGCACATTAGTGCATCTCTTGGGCCAGTATAATAGCATGAAAACATTGAGATTTGTGCATCGTAGGGCTGTCGCACTAACTGCAATAATGAATAGGGCTTATGTATTTATTATTATATATCACATTGCTTACAGTATCGCAATATACTGAATTGTAACCCCTGTATAGTGATTGCATCACCAGATCTTTGCCAATACACTGCTCAAATAATCAAATACTGCTGTATTGACAAGCCAACCACATGTGATATCACATCGTCACATCATTATCAGAATTTGTTTTGTAAGATGGGAAAGCAGCTAGGCAGAAGAAACTTGACACGACAGAAGCGCTATCGAAAACACAGTGCTACTCCGTGTTAGGGGTGTAAGAAAATATTGATACACTTGAGTAAAGCAATATTTTGTTTTTTGATATTGTATCGATTCTCACTCTGTATTGATTTTTATGTTTAAACCCCCAACTGCTAGATAGCAGGGCTATAAGTGTAAACTGAGGGCTGTGATGTTGGATGTTAAAGGGACTGTAATAAAAAATTAAAAAACACATGATTTGTGACATCACAAATAGTTTGACAGTCATCCTGGTCCAGTATGCAACTTGTACAGTGTGATGTAGGAACCAGTGCACATCCACTGTGAATGGACTTTACAGTGAATTAAGTAGGAGACATCTTGTGTCCAGCAGGAAAACTTTAGAAATATATATCCATAGATATGTATATCCATAGACTTTTTAATGAAGTAGAAGGAGTAGATTATTTTTTAAGGATTTTAATGTGTAATTTATACTTTTTTTTGCAAAAAGAAATACACATTTTTCTAAGCAGGCCACTTGTATGTCTTAAATAATAAATGTCTGTTAAATAACTGGTGAACTTATTTCTGCTGAAAGCCACCACAGACCCAGGAGGAGGGAGAGTGCAGGTGATTAGTACAAGCAAGTGCTGAGATTAAACAATACCCCACTGTGCTCCTTCCAAAGTAATTTAATTTAATTTAAAAAAAGGCATACTGCATGCCGTGCTGTTGAGCAACCCTAAAACACAGCAGGAGATATAACTTCAGTGCGACAGCCATACTGCATTATATCACCTACACACTGCAACAGAATGGGGGCCCATTCATAAAAACATTAGTGCTACTAGTGGTCAAGAACTCCACAGGATACCTTTAAGTCGAACTTCAGTTAAACCAGGAGTGCAACAGCTTTAAGTTAAAGTTCAGTAGCCACAGCAGCTGGGTTTAAGTAAATCACCGGTGAAGTTTCAACTTCAGCCTCAGGAAACTGGGGTATCTGATTGTTTCAACGAATCCCATCCTAAAGCTTAAGCCACTGCTCAGCTAATGATAGAGCAACAGCTCCAATGTACCTGACTGGGAGACATTTTTCCTGCTTGTTGCTTGCTCATTCAGGTCACCTAATGAGCATGTGCTTAAAGCAACAGACTCAAGAAAATCTTTGGAGATGGAGGAAAATTCTATTTGCTATCGTCTAGTATAAATACTACTTGTGGTCACAGTGTCTGATGTTCAGCTGAAGTTACATAGTCTTACTTTAAGTCATTTTAAAGAATATTCTGGATTATCAAGATACTAATAATGAGTGACAAATATTCCCTGTAATAGAGATGAGATAGGATTTGTCAGCATTTAGTCACATTAACAACTGTTAACTGTGAATTTTAAGAGGAAGCTAGTCTACTGTGGATTTTTATGCAAAAGTCTCCCAGTGCCAGCTAAAAGCTCATCATCAGGCACATATGAATGCAAAGCTGGCATAAAAACTAATTATCTGTTTTGTATAAAAATCTCATTGACCCAAACCAGCTACACACGACAGCCCTGAGAAACTATGATAAGCGGGAGAGGACAACACCAGCCAGTAACACTGACTCTTGATGGTAGGTGACACTTTGGTCTGCTCATGAATAGCTGTGTACTTGCCTGTGGGCAGCTAAAACTGAAGATGAATAGTGAATTGTGTCCCTGTGGATCTACCACAGAAACTGATAAAGATGGGACATTTCTTGCCGTAGCTGCTGTCCAGTAGAAATGAGAATAGAAGTGTGGGTGTTTGTGTTAAAAGATGGAGAAGACCAGAGAGCGTGTGGCAGGTTCAGGTTTCAGGTTCAGGAGTGCTGACTGCTCCACTGGTTGGCCATAGGCCTGCTGAGCAGCTCCTCCACGTGGCGGGCCACGTCCATCGTGTCGTCCAGGTCAAAGTCTCCATCTGCATCCAACATGGCATCACTCCTGAGGGCAGAGACAGACACCGCAATTTCATGGAGGAGTTTCTAGAGCTGACACCCTCTGGTCGGTTGGTTGATATGCTCTTATCCGGCCAAATTTTCATTGGTCAGACAATCGCTGGTGTTACATTCCTAAGGAGAAAAGCACTTCTTAATCTATTATTTTTGAGGGGGAGGGACATATGCAGATCTGATGCATTTCATTTTTGAGTGTTGGATATATTGTTTGAAATATTAAATAAATTGATTATGTATGAAAATAAAAGTCAAATATATTTTACTCAATGAATCTGGTTCTGTTTTAATAATGGTATGGTTTAATAGACAATACATCAGAAAGTCAGAACACGCCCGTTTGACATCACCCCACTTTAACTGGAGGTCTGGAGACTGCAGGACTTAACTTACTGAACATTTATTCAGCTCCAAACTAACTGACACAATGTCAAATAACCAGCAACAATGTCAACATTAGCCACGGCCTAAGAGGAGCCTCAAGTTTATTTTACTACAGACCGCTTTCTTAACAAGGGCTAAGAAAGGGCTCGTAACAAAGGTTCAAGGTGAATGATGGATTGATAACATTACGGACTGTCCGTGACCCGACTTCAAACTTAAAAAAAAATGCCATGTTTTATGTTGTTTGTTTTATTGTTGTTGTTTATCTTGCTGAACTTTGCTTTAGCATGTTGCTAAGTGGCTACTGCCTCTGGCTGGGGGAAGTTGGACTAATGTAGTAATATTGAGGGACAGTGGAGACAAACTGTGTGAACGTTAAGCCTCATTTGAACTAAAAAAATGAGAGTAGCAGGTTGGTTGCCAAAATCATTTTTTTCCTGGAACTAGCCATTTATAATGTCAGCTAGCAGGTAGACAGCGCTCAGTGCACCTTGGTCGATTTAGTTTACCTACCTTGACGCTCCCAACAGTGACCGTGAATCAAAAAATTTAAAGCTCTGTAAAAGTGAGCTGGAGATTCAGCTGACAATTATCTTTAGGTTTGTCACTACAAGTGATCCTTTTCACATTGTTATCACATTATTTGATATATTGTTATTATTAGTATTATCATTATAGAAGTATTATTGTCTTAAATAAATAGAGTAAATGAGGTAATAGAGTGAGCTTACATAGAAGGGTAGGCACCAAAGTTGTTGGGGTGGCTCACGGAGGGAGAGGCTGTCTGGTCCATGAATGCGGAAGTTCCTCCGCTGGGCTCAGGGTTCGGGGTGGTGAATCTACCAGAGACATATATACCACACATTACCATCACATGTCTGCAACAGGCCTACTGACTGACATCTTATAATAATGCATAATGATAATGATAACCAATCCATAATAATGGAACCAGACTGATATAGGATTTTTGAAGCCAATACCAACTTAAGAGGGAAAAATTCAGTGTTTTTGAGCTGGAATGAAAATGGACCATTTTGACCATGTGGATCATATGTGTATATTGTACAATATTGCCAACTGGTATATTGGTATTGTCTTGAAAAAAATAACAGAATGAATCCCAGAGTCACGCTTTCACTTCAAATTACTTGTACAGTATGCGAAACACACCCCATAAAAAGGACAGAAGTGGTTATATACAGCATATTTGAGACCTCCTTAGATGTGTGAACGCATCGTCTTTTTAGGATTCAAATATCAAATCCACACTAAACCTCCAGAACTGGCTTCTTATTCAGTCCTGTCTGTTTAAAGTGATTTAGGTTTCCTGTCGCAGTTTTGGAAAAGAGAAAAAAGACAACTTACTCTGGCACAACTTGTTTGATCTGTGGTTTTACGTATCCATCCACTGCTTTTGCTGCAAGAGAGACATACTGCCTTAAAAACTATATATTTCAGAGTTCTTTAAACTTTACAGTGTCGTCTATGTAGGCCACTGAGTAAGTTATTAAAAAAACAAGTTAATGTCAAGAAAGTATTATTCACTTCCCAGATGTGTGTATTTAGCTCATGGCAGTGATGTGTTGAACCCAAAGATATAGTGCTGATACATACAGAGTGGAGGGGTGTAGTACTTTGCGAAGACCTCATCTTTGAGCCGGTTAGGGTAGAGAAACAGAAGGTGGTTAAGGTCACTGATGCGGTCGGCCAGGGAGCGAATGGAGAAGTCCTTGGTTGTATAAGGCAACAGATTCCAGACCAGCCTCTCACCTAGCCAAAGACACAGACAGCCAAGAATTACAGCCACTGTATTCACCAAGGCTCACCCTCAGTGTAAAAGAAGAAGGGGGGAAAGGCACATTTTATTAATCCCTGGCTGTGTTCAAAATCACACACACTAATGTACTATTCATACCAAATATGATGTCAAATTGAGTATGTAGTGTGTTTTGTTATTTAGTGTCAACGAGATATTAGAGATTCGAAACTCTGAGTATATGGTGTGAGTTTCTTGCACAGACTCCACCGCCTGAAAATACATTGTGTTTCTTCATACTGATCAATGGCATACTGCGAGGAGGACGGTATTACTTCACCATTAAATTCACTTGTGTATACTTGAATATTAGCAGTTTGACGAAAATTGAAGGTGAAATCGAAAATGTCCCGCTCACAGACCCCTCTTGCAACCCACAGTCATACAGACCAGCAACATTTTTGTCTTCTGCATCGTATTTATTCTGTTTAATGTACATAGCCATAGACAAACGCTAAAATAGTATCATCATCCTTCTCCTCCTTTTCTTTCTTTTCTTAAAAGCACAGCAGCTTGGTACCTGGTTTGTTGGGATTCTCAGCTACCCAGGCGATGGTGATGCCTCCAATCTCAGAGTCACTGAAGCGTAACAGGAAGGTTCCGTTGGGTTTGGACAGCAGCATGTCCTGTGCTTGCTGCTTGTTAACAAAGCCCAGGATAGCCCTGTAAACACACATATTCACACACCATGTGAGCCAGTGCACCTGAGGGCATTTTATTCCTTATATGCTATATTTGAATCAATTCGTCAAGGTTAAAAAAAGCATGAGACTCCCTATACAGTAAATTAATCAAAACCAGACGATTTCACCAATAAGGCTCAGAACGCAACACACCCGAATGTCTGATCAAACTGTCGGTGGACAAGTTGCATTGTGGGTAATGTAGGCATCAGGTTTTGACAAGGAAGAAGAGAAAAGAAGATCTCACTGGTTCTGCTGCATTGATTTGATTTCCGACAAAGGAGGAGTGTGATCATAACCAGGTTTAGATTTACTGATGGACACATTAGACTGTCGTGTTACTTTTAGCTAACCGCTAACTGCTGCTAACTGCTAATGGACTGGGAGCTCAAGGCACCGGCACTCCCTGCAGTCCGGGCAAAGTCACCTTCTTTCTTCTAGAATGGCGCCGGTGACAACGGCAGCCTGTCATGGCTGCTCCATTGTTGTAGTTTTAGTGTGTTTTCAGTGCGTTTTTTTTTTTTTTTTAACAGTTTTCTTACTTTCTTACTACTTTGTTCACGTTGCCTAAATACTTTTTCTGCATTTTTGAGCACTTTTTATTTTTTGTTTACACTGGTCTCCATGGTGATGGCGAGTCACATTGTACGTCCATATTATCTGCCACAGGAATTTCCCAGTGTTATCGCCATCACTGTCTATATTCCTCCATCTGGGAAAGCAGAAGCAGCGTGTGACGTCATCCACACTGTGACTGCAGGACTACAAACGAAACACCCGGAGGCCTTCATCATAATCACACTGGACTTCAACCACGTTTCTCTCTCATCCACACTCCCAACCTTCCACCAGTTTGTCACATGTACCACCAGAGACAATAAGACCTTGGACCTGCTGTACGCAAATGTTAAAGATGAGTACAGCTCCACTGCCCTGCCACCACTGGGCAGGTCAGACCACAACTTAGTCCGGCTCTCACCATCATACAAGCCTGTGGTTCAGAAACAACCAGTCACAGTGAAGACAGTGAGGAAATGGTCTCCTGAGGCCATAGAAACACTGCGTGGAGCGCTGGAGGCACACCGACTGGGATGCTCTGTATGAGCCACACAGGGAGGACATTGATGGCATTACTGACCGTATCTCTGAGTACATTTGGTTCTGCACTGACAACTCCATCCCCTCCAAGGAGGTCCCATGCTACCCAAACAACAAACCGTGGGTAACCGGCAACCTGAAGACCCTTCTCAATGAGAAGAAGAGGGTCTTTAGATCAGGGGACACTCAAGCGTGTACAAAGAGACCTCAAACACAGCATCAGGGGGGTAAGGATGCATACAGGAGAAAACTGAAGGACAAACTGGAGAACAACAACACCAGAGACGTATGGAGTGGGATGAGAGAGATCATCGGCTTTCAGGGGAGAGGTCGGGGTGCAGCTGAGGGGAATGAGTTGAACCAGTTCTTCAACAGGTTTAACCTCAGCTCCCCCACCCCTGGCAGCCCCTCTACTGCTCCTCTGAGCAACAACCCCAGGACACTCCCACAGCCCTCACAGCCCCCACAGCCCCCTACCACCTCCTGCAGCAGACACCTCTCTGTATCAACCTTGTCATCCCCACCCCCCAATCTGACACCCACTACAGACCCTGGCACATCTCCCACCACCTCCCAGACTGGACTTTATATCACAGTCAGCCAAGTGAGGAGAGAGCTGGAGAGGCTCAAACAGAGGAAAGCTGCTGCACCGGACCACATCAGCCCTCGAGTACTGAAAGCATGTTCCAGCCAGCTCTGTGGAGTTTTCCAGCACCTCTTCAACCTGAGCCTACACCTTCAGAGAGTGCCAGGTGTCACACTAGACAACAAACTGGACTGGTCCACAAACTCAGGGGCCATCTACAAGAAGGGCATGAGCTAGCTTTACTTCCTGAGGAGGCTCAGGTCCTTCAAAGTCTGCAACAGGATGCTGCAGATGTTTTATCAGTCTGTTGTGGCGAGCACCATCTTCTTTGCTGCAATGTCCTGGGGTACGGGCATCAAGGCAAAGGAAGACAAAAGACTGAACAAACTCATTAAGAAGGCCGAGTCTGTTGTTGGCTCTAAGCTTGTCACCCTGGAGGAGGTGGTGGAGGAGAGGATGTTGGCAAAACTGCTGGCAATTAGGGATGGGGCCGATGCGATCCCATATCGGTATCGGGACCGATACCAGCGTAATTCACGTATCGGAATTTCCCGATCCAACCTGCGCAGATTTCCGATATCCATGAGCCATGTCTGCGTTAACGTTGTCTGCTGAAATGACTCCACAGGTGATTCCTGCCGGCCAGTCTGCTAGCTGGCTGCAAACTGTGGAATGGATTTCCTGAACGGAGGCGCGGCTCAATTAGACAGAGAGAGTTATGAGACACGCCCCGCTCAGGAAATCCATTCCGCAGTTTGCAGCCAGCTAGCAGGATAGCATTGAGCAGCATTGTGGCTAGCCAACATGTCCGCTGTGTGGAAATACTTTACACTGGAAACACCGCAGAGCAAGACAGCAAAATGCAATGTTTGCAAAGCCGTAATTCAGAGAGGCGGAAGCGCTCTCGCGTCGTACAACACTACGAACACAATCAAACCTTTCAAAAAAAAAGCACCACACGAAACAGCACGAGGATTTTTTAGGCGAGCTGTCAGGAATCACTTCTGGAGTCATTACAAAAACAAGTTAAACTCCAGGCAGACAACGGGAAAGCTAAAGGGATTAGAGTGTGTGTGTGTGTGTGTGCGTTTGTGTGTGCGCGTGCGTGCGTGTGTAAGATGTTTACAGTTATTGCACTTTTCTTATATTTCAGATAATTGACATTTTAAAACCTTGATTTATTGATACTACAAGAGCCAGTGTACTTGATCTGTGCTGTTCAGATGCACACTGTTTTATTGATAGTGTGTGTGTAAGATGTTTACACTTATTGCACTTTTATTATATTTCAAGACTCAAATATTTGACATTTGGGGAATTTAATAAATATTGACATGACAATAAATTTGAAACCCTTACAGTTGCATATTTGTTTTCAGAATGGGATTTTTCCTGTTAACAGGATTTCCTGTTTTTCTGACTTCCTTTTCTGACCTTATGCTTACCTCAAGTTGCCTTTTGGGACATACATGCAGACATACGTACATATCATACTTGGCTGTTGAGGAGTTTATTCATATTATCTCATATAAAATCAACAATAATGATAATAATAATATTAAAGAAAACAGAGCTCTGGTATCGGAATAGTATCGGTATCGGCCGATATCCAAATTCAGGTATCGGGATCGGAAGTGAAAAAATGTGGATCGGTGCATCCCTACTGGCAATCATGAACAATCCCTCCCACGCCCTCCACACAACACTGGAAAAGCTAAAGAGCAGCTTCAGCAACAGACTCATTCAACCCCACTGCTCTAAGGAACGATATAGAAAATCATTCCTCCCCTCTGCAATAATTAATAATAATTGACTCTGAATCAGCTGCTATAACATTATAATTTAGAATTTAGAAAGGCAGCATAATTATTACCCATCATTCCAGTGGGGCTTGAGATGTTTCTTCATGAGCTCAACCACTCCATCAAACCATTGCCAGAAGGTGAAGTTGCGTCCAGGTAAGCTCTCCTGTATAAATTAAACATACTCCATCAGTATGTTTACATGCACACACAAAGCCAGGATACTATGGTGGTTAGTAAGACTATTTATGCTAGTTTATGCGTGTGTGTGTGTGTGTGTGTGTGTGTGTGTGTGTGTGTGTGTGTGTGTGTCAGTGGCAGAAGAAGCTCTGTACAGTTAGCTGTGGAAACGAGCTGGCCTCACCCGGTTGAACTGGGCCCAGGATATGGTCATGTTGCGGTAGTCCTCAGGGTTGTTGCTGCTGCTTGTAAAAGCCTTCTGTGCCAGGAAGACCAGGTTATCCTCCGACAGGCCACGCCCGCTGTGCATCTCTGCCTTGTACTTCATGTCGAGGGCCTCACACAGCTGCGGCCACAGCACCTTGTCTGGTACGATGAACGGGACCCTGCCCTGAGGAGACGAGGAAGGGAGGTAAACACAGGACATGCCATGGAGTCATTGCTGGAAGCAGATTGACGCGGCTGAGAATTTTAATGCGTTTGATAGTGCTGTCCGTGGTGCTGAAGTAGCAGACAGATTTGTAAGAGTCTTTTTCGCTCAGTCCTTGTCTCAGTTGCAGTTTGTGTGTTCATAGTAATGATGGATCATGACACCCAGTGCAACAGTGTGGCTCACTGATGTGTTTTTAAGTTAACGTAAGTAATAGAGCTCTATGGGACACACTTTGACACACACACACACACACACACACACACACACACACACACACACAGTACTAGCAGGATACATTCACTGTTAGTTCAGCACATGGGATTACTGATAACAAGAAAATATAGAATATGACAAGATTTATCATTTAACAGCTTATTATACTATGATCTGGATCAATTATAATTGGCTGCAGGGTGTCTATTAATGCCTGATAAAGGAGTGCAGTCCTTCAGTGCCTCATACTCTGAACAACACAGGATGACAACTGTAATACACAAGCCCCTACACTGCCCCTCTGAACTTACTGATACTTTGTATAAATGATACAGCGATGCAGAAAAGGGCCATTGTGGCAAAAGGTCAACTTACTGGCTCAGCAAAGGCGTTGTCCCACAAGACTGTTGCTGTGGCATTGTTGTCCTGACTGCCGTGGACAATCACTACCACAGGCAGCGATAAGGTCTGCAGGTTACAGACACAAGAAGAGGGATTAAAGAGGCTTGGTTTCACTAAAATGATCAATTATTAATTAATGTTTCATGCTAGAACATATTCTTAGTCAAAGCCAACAACTCTAGCTCTCTGGTATTTAAAGTCTTCCGAAGGAGACAAAGACAGTGGCCAAGGAGTAAAGCTGACCATTTAATAACCAAACAAAATTCCCAGTGCTGTTCAGCTCTTATTCAAAGGTATAAAAAGGTCAAAAGTCCCATCTGATTACTTTGACATGGAAGACCAGCTCATTGCCCCCCACGCTGAACTGTGATTCAAACAGAACTGTGAACTTCTCCTCCGTCACCGACTCAGCACCTCGCCGGTCTGAACGCTTGATCCGCTTCAGTGACTGTAAACACAGACACACATGCAGCAAAGATCACATGAGAAGTGATTAGAGACACATTCCTTCTTTACAATGAACATAGCCAGTGAAGTGCATTCTGAAAAAACTGAGCTTATATACACTGAAGATGCTCTACTGTGTTTACACCGATCTGCTTGTTTGATGAGCTGAGAGGAATAATCAGGCTTTAGATACTTACAGTATGTGCTACAGGGATCAGTTCATTGTTAGTTTTCATGGAATTTGTTGATAACAACATACAATAACACTAGCTTTATCCTTCATTCTCTCATTTTGTTAAATATTCCAACTGAATTCTCTATACCACTTCTAATAATGTTTGGAGTATGTACTGCATTCACTCATTGAAAAATAACAAAATGAGACTGTATGACATACTGTACACAGTTAGCATTGAGTTTAAATCATTCAGTTTTTGAGTTTTGTGTTGGTGGACCTTACTGTCCTTCAATGCAATGTACCAAAAAAATGGAGCTGGTCAGTCGAAAAGTGCCAGCAGTTTGTGGAAAACAAATATAAATATTATTACCTGTTAATTTAAACGCACATTTAATTATTTCTCATAACTGTCAAAACACAGGTGCAGCTTGTGTAATTATTAATGTGCATTATTAATTATTAGCGCATTAGTGTGGGAGAATATTGTAAAAGGGGAAGGGGATGTGTCCAAAGCATTAATCTACCTTCCTCTTTTCACAGGTTGCCTATGCTGTCTTTGTGGTTGGGTTTAGGTTGTCTAGCAAAATAACTTAATCCTAGGCGGTTTTTAAACTTAAATGTTTTATCAACTGGATCACATGGTTTGGTTTTTAAAGGGTGGCACAACACATAATGTGATTCCTGATGATGATGACTGAAATACTGTGCAGTGAGTTTTGTACTCTCAACTGGGGTAATGAGTAATGATTAATCGATTATTAATTAGACACCTACCAGATCATCAGTCTCAGGGCTCCAGAGTGGGACCAATTTGGTCGCACATGCGACCAAAATTTGTAAGAGTGCGACTAATAATTTTTCTAGGTCGCACTGGTGCACCTGACGCTGCCCGGGTGAAAACGTAAATTTATTTCGCAAGCGCATCATCTCTCTGTGTTCTCCTGTGACCGAACTCACACACTCATGGTAGAATCATATCGTGTTCTAAACCAATAAGAGACAGAGCTCGGGCGGGTCTTTGCCTCTGATTGGCTGTGGTCCTGTTCACCGTGCTCAGTTGTGTGTGTTTAAAAATTGCGCGTGACCTGAGCGCCAGAATAGCTGACTAACTGAAACGGAAAATTAAATAAATGCGACAAAACGAGGGAAAATGCAGAGAGGCAGAAATATTGAAAGTTTTTTCTTTAAGAAAACCAAGCCTACAACCAGCCCTACTACTATAATCCCATCCATCCCCACTACTGAGAGTCCATCCCGTCAAGATACGGAGCCCTCGGTCCCTGGTGAGATACCAGCCTCGGTCCTTCGGCGACAGCATCAGACTCGGAACCAGAGGAGGAGACAACCGAGTCTGGGATAGAGCCCGGCTCCGAGACCCAAATTAAAAAGGCCAAAATATATTCCTTCAGACTGGACTGGCTGAAACGATTTCCCTGGCTGAGGTACAACAAAGGACGTAACGCAATGCACTGCGTGTACTGTCAGGAGTGCGGTCGGAATATGGGCCGTAAATAGTGCATTTATGAGCGGGTCAACAACGTTTCGTATCAAAATTTTTAAAAAACATAACATGTCTAAAAAACACACGATATGCCGTGACAAGTGTGTGTAGAGAAAGTGGCCCCTCTCCCAGCTGCATTTCAGCGGCAGGTAGTAGTAATCGTTATTATTATCATTAATAATTATTTTACTTCAAATGTTTGAGTTTGAAATGTTCAATTTCAGTTCAGTGAAGCAATTTAAGCACAAGCACTTTTATTTGGAAATGTTTTATTTTGCTTAGTGTTTTAGTTTGAAATGTTCAACTTCAGTTCAGTGAAGCACTTTAAACACTTTATTTTTCTTTTTATATATAATTGTGCTTCAAATAAAGACAAGCATTTCTCTACACCTTATACTTTTACAGTCCCATTTGTAAGTTGTAGAAGCCGGCAAATTTGTGAGCAGATGATAACGAGGAAGAGGAGAAAGATCAAGACTTTTTTAATAATGACTTTTTGTGGAGCAACGGCTACTTCTGGAGCCAAGAGTGGTGGGACCAGATTTCATCCAGGAGGGGAATGGTTACTTTTATCTACATCTGTCCGCTCCACTAGTCGCAGAGTGAGTAACGTCGACTGAGACTGTTTGCAAAAGATCAGACCTATAAACTGAATTAACATATATAAGTGGCCTAAATCAGAATAGAAAAGATTAGATTCCTTGTTCTGTTCACACTGTTAACTGTTATGAGAGAAAAAAAAGAGAAGAAAAAAAGAAAAAGAAAAAATCCGATTTGAGCCACTTTTGCATTCTTAAATTTTCCCTCACAAAACAACATGAGATTTCTAATCAAATGTGTAAAAATAATGTTGTTCTACACTCCTAGATATATAAGTAATAGAGCTTACCATGTTTCTGAAGTGTGCACTGAGGGTGCCAGTGGCCTGATGATACTCCATCACACAGTTGTTGTTGAGGATTTCTCCACTGCTTTCACTACCACAGCAAAAGAAAGCAGATAGAACACATTCTGAGTGACTGTGGCTGGAGACATCTTCAATAAATCACCATGAAACTATTTCTATTTGTTTAGTAACTAACAATTAACAAATTAATTGCCTATATCAAACAAAGTACCTGCTATAATCACCTATTATTTTGTTATTAGTGTTTAGGTTTTACCAATACATTTATCCTCATCACAAGTCTGCATGCTAGCATGTGCACTTACCTGTGTGTGCTCTCATTCTTCAGGAGAGCTTTGGCCTGCTGCTCGCTAACAATGACAGCCTTGACCTGAGGTGGGTTCATGTGGACATTGAGCTTCCCGCCCACCAGAAGGCGCACCGTTGCTGCAAACTTCGTCTGGGTCTTTAACACCTGGGGTGGCTGCTTTTCTATGATAAAGGTACTGAGGAGAAGAGGGGACAATGACGTGATGTCTTGGTCAACATTTTCTCTCATGAGAGGATCTGCATTATCCCAAGGCAATCACATTAATGTATGGACATTAGTTAAGTGAAGGGATACAATGGATTAGGATAAGAGATTTAACAACAGAATCAGCAAGAAGGCACCAAGTTGATAAAGTCCTACACCCACAGACCATTCTTGCCATCAACTCAGACACAGCTCTGACTTGAGTTATACAAGGACTCCCACAACAAACCCATAAGATACCAAGAATAAGCCATGTCTAAGTCTGTGAAGCACATGTAGACTAAATAGGTAACCTGTCGGGACAGAATCTGCATTTGTCCTCTTGAATCTGAGCTTTTTTCCTGCATCCAAGCAAAAATATTCCCATGGAGGTTGAGTATTGAGTCTATTGGGGGATTTCCCATGGTGCACTGAGCTCCTCTCTTCCTCTCTCTTCCTGCACTCATTCATGTCCCATTAATGCATGTTACTAACTTCCCTTCTTCCCCGGAGTTCTTGTGCTTTCTTGTCTCGCAGGTTCTCATGGATCCTGGTGGAGGCTCCTGCCATGGTCCTGCTTGACTGCCATTAATAATATTACTGTTGTTGTTGTTGTTGCAGTTACTATTATTACTTACTACGTTGTCGTCATCGTCATCATTTTCTTCATGTTCATCATCATCACCATCAGTCACTACAATTAGTTTAGTTGTTGCTACTGTTGTTGCTGTGCACCTTTACCTCTGTGTCTCTGTCCTTCTGTCTTTACCTCTGTGTCTCTGTCCTTCTGTCTCTCTCTGTCTCTCTCTCCCTCTCCCCCTCCCTCCCCAACTGGTCGAGGCAGACGACCACCCACCTAGAGCCAAAGGGTCTGTCCTAGGTTTCTGTCTCTTAAAAGGCAGTTTTTCCTTGCCCCCATCGCCAAGGTCTTGCTCATGGTGGTACTGTTGGGTCTCTGTAAATAATGTTACAAGGAGTTTGGTCTAGACCTGCTCTATTTGAAAAGTGCAGAAGCAAATTTGCACATATTCTTACATTTTGTTGGGTTTTTTTCTTGAGTTACTACTTGTGTTACTACTGTAGAACTATACCATTGGTATAAGCCAGTATATAGCCAGTAGAACAAAAGCAACAATAAACCAGCATAGTGACACAGTGGTATACAAAGGGCAGGGATTAGGGATGGGGCCGATCCAATCCCGTATCGGTATCGGGACCGATACCAGCGTAATTCACGTATCGGAATTTCCCGATCCAACCTGCGCAGATTTCCGATATCCATGAGCCATGTCTGCGCTTTAACATTGTCTGCTGAAATGACTCCACAGGTGATTCCTGCCGGCCAGTCTGCTAGCTGGCTGCAAACTGTGGAATGGATTTCCTGAACGGAGGCGCGGCTCAATGAGACAGAGAGAGTTATGAGACACGCCCCGCTCAGGAAATCCATTCCGCAGTTTGCAGCCAGCTAGCAGGATAGCATTGAGCAGCATTGTGGCTAGCCAACATGTCCGCTGTGTGGAAATACTTTACACTGGAAACACCGCAGAGCAAGACAGCAAAATGCAATGTTTGCAAAGCCGTAATTCAGAGACACGGAAGCGCCCTCGCGTCGTACAACACTACGAACGCAATCAAACCTTTAAAAAAAAAGCACCACACGAAACAGCACGAGGATTTTTTAGGCGAGCTGTCAGGAATCACTTCTGGAGTCATTTCAAAAACAAGGTAAACTCCAGGCAGACAACGGGAAAGCTAAAGGGATTGGAGTGTGTGTGTGTGTGTGCGTGTGTGTTTGTGTGTGTGTGTGTGTGTGTGCGTGTGCATGCTAGATGTTTACAATTATTGCACTTTTCTTATATTTCAGATAATTGACATTTTAAAACCTTGATTTATTGATACTACAAGAGCCAGTGTACTTGATCTGTGCTGTTCAGATGCACACTGTTTTATTGATAGTGTGTGTGTAAGATGTTTGCACTTATTGCACTTTTATTATATTTCAAGACTCAAATATTTGACATTTGGGGAATTTAATAAATATTGACATGACAATCAATTTGAAACCCTTACAGTTGCATATTTGTTTTCAGAATGGGATTTTTCCTGTTAACAGGATTTCCTGTTTTTCTGACTTCCTTTTCTGACCTTATACTCACCTCAAGTTGCCTTTTGGGACATACATGCATACATACGTACATATCATACTTGCCTGTTGAGGAGTTTATTCATATTATCTCATATAAAATCAACAATAATGATAATAATAATATTAAAGCAAACAGAGCTCTGGTATCGGAATAGTATCGGTATCGGCCGATATCCAAATTCAGGTATCGGGATCGGATCGGAAGTGAAAAAATGTGGATCGGTGCATCCCTAGCAGGGATTGTAGATGGAAAGTAGCTAGTAGTTAAACCTGGTTGCTTGAGATTACTGTTATTGTACATGATCCTTGAAGAATAACAAGAACAAAGAAGGTATGCATTTTGTTGTGCGCTACCAGCTGACAGGGAAAGGTTAAAGTTGAATAAGACTTATTTGTAGACCAGTGAATTTCACTTACAATAATTTTGGAAGCTATTCGGCTTGTTAGTTAATTAATATTTAAACAAGTTAAGAAATTACTACTTTAAATTGTCCATTATTCAAGCATGTTTTCACCAGCTGTGAGGTTGTGGTTGAGGTTGTCATGTAAAACTAAAACAGATGCCTGCATTTGGACAAACTTGAAACAAAAGCATACAGTGATGCATGATAAACGAGTATGTATGGGAGGTTGCAAGAGTGAGCATACAGAAAGAAGAGAAAGTGAAACTTCATTCAATAATTGTGCAATGTAACACTGCTGTAATTCTGCGGTTAAGCAGCAGTGTAGATGGAAGTACACTGCACACTGAGAATCTGAATAAAGTCACAACCAGAGCTTAGAGAGGTTGAATGAACTAATTCTGTAGCCCTGCTTTTTATGTGTCTCCTGTATGAGAGAGGTAAAATGGTGGTGTTTTGTGTAAAGGGTTTGCAAAAAAGTAATGTTTTGTACATGGAGAAAAAAATGCTGTTTAACAAGACTGACAACTGAAAGGGTAGAAAGAGATAAAGATCCCGCTGAGCAACAGTATAAGAAGAGTAATTCACAACCAAATATTTAGAGCCCAGTTGCCACATTGTGTTTCAATAATGATCTCAGATCACTTAAGCTTTTATGGACTGGAAAACAAATAAAAAACTGGAAGATGTCCTGAGAAAAAAGCAACGAGTGTGCACACGTCCAGGCAAAACTAAAAAAAAATATCACTGCAGGGCACAAAGGAGAAAAAGTCTGCACACTGATGGGCTCCAAATAAATATTTTATTCTCTTTTTCAAACTCCTCCTTTTTAATGTTCTGGAGAAGACCTTGCAGATTGAAAGGGCTTAAAAAAGAGAGAATACAAATATTTATTTCAGTGTGCAGACTTTTTCTTCTCCTTTGTGCCCTAAAACAGTATTCTCTCCTTTCATTCAACCTAGTGGGGACATCAACAAAATTGAAAGTTTTCAGATGTAAATAATAGATTCTGTGTCTCAATTATACTTCCTACAAGAAGAAAAACATCAATATAACAGGTGATTACAAACTTCTGAATGGTTGTGTATATATGCTGTATGTCATAAAAGGAATAGACTATTATATAGTAAATTTAGTTTTTACGGCTTCTGTCAAGTCGATGGTACTTTATCACAATGATACAAAAATCATGCAACAAATGAAATGTATATAGCAGAACTCTAGTAAAAATAATATTTACTATTGTTATTTATGTGAGTGTAACACTTTAATCATTTACTCCAGAGGACTCTAGTGAGCACTGGATGTCACTATTGGATCAAAGCAGCTGAACTACATTCTCTGCAAACTACATCCTCTGCAAAAAGTAAAAAAGTAAAATCACATCAGGTGCTCACTCATGATTATCAGTAAACATGCACAACCCTGGTGGAGCTCTAGACCTACTCAGAACAAGGTTATCACTCCAGGCTACAAGAATGGCTCATAGAGGCAGCTCTGGTAACCCACAACTCCACAGTAACCTCCCACAAGATATCCCAGCAAGTGGGGAAGCCTTAACCAATTCCACAAAGCACATGTAGACTGCGCGGGCAAACTGCCATGACCAATGCCGGCATCCTCACAAGAGTAAAGACCTAGTCACTGCTGCACAATCAGGACAGAATCTGCATTGTGAACTCTATACAACAACTGTAGAGATGAAGTCTAGTTCTCACCTGGTAACCAATGCGGAAATTATATCAGTGATGTCAGCGTTGAGTTTGCTCAGCAACTCTTCCATGGGGCCCGGCAGAGGAAGCTGCTGGGTCAGATGTTCACAGCGCCGGATCTGCTGTCGGTTCTGCCAGATCAGGTCAGCCAGCTTCTCACACCTAGTGTTCAGGGAGAGGAGGAGGAGGTACCACCACAGTGTGGAAGTAACAGGGAAGAGGAAAAAATTAGGCCAGTTTCTATGTGAGTATATTTAGGCATATGTATGTATGTATGTATGCATAAAAAATATGTTTATATGTTGCGAATTAAAATGTAATACGCCAGTTACAATAATGAATAAGCATCTCCAGTATATACCAGGACTGAAGGACATCCAGCCCCCCCTCATGAGGACCCCCGTTGCCAGCCAGCTGCTGCCTCCTCTTCCACTGGATGAGCTCCTCGTCGAGGATCAGAGTCTGCTGCTTCCTCAGCAGGGCTAGGGTCTTCTGGTGTTGTTCTGACAGGTCCTGCAAACACACCAGTCACACACTGAGACACATTTGCATATGTGACACTCAGTACGTTAACATTCACAAAAAAAGTATTACTGGGCGTCACATGGGCCTGAGCTGCTGTGAACCATTAAAAATCTGAAGAACAGATTTAAGCAGGGAGAGAAACAGAAGGTAAACTCATGAACAATAACAGGCTGTTGCTGCAGCTCCTTAGTCTTGTGTTGCTGTGGTGCTGAAGGAGCTACTATGAACTAACTTTATATTTCATGTTTGAATTCTCTGCAATAATATTTATTGCCATCAATCTGCGAGATATACAGGACCACAGCCCCCAAACACACGCTAAAAACAGTCTACAAAAAAATTGATTAAAATCGGAAATCGGGTTTGGTGTGAAAAAATCGGAGATTTTATTTTAAGCCATATCGCCCAGCCCTATACATATTATATAATAATATAATTACCTACCCATTTGTGGAAACCAAAGAAATCAAAAAGCCAGTAACAGTAACCCAGTTCCATACGTGTCACAGACTCTTTCTTACTGTAGATATTCACCATTTGAGCCATTTGAGTAATTTGTAACTGTCTGTCCAATTCATATAAGCTACATTTAAGCATCCAACTTAACTCAGAAACAGTAAGTTACTGGATGTAACTCCAGTTCTTTGAGTACATGCATAGCCCTCTAACAGGCTTTGCTACAAGTTTATCCCCTTCAAGGGCTCTGCGTTAGCACCTAAGAAGATCTTGAATGAGGTAACATTTAAATCAACTAGGTTATTACACACAATAGCCTGCAAAAGACGAAGGTTGATTCAGGTGACACTGAGGCTATGTTCACACTGCAAGCCTTAGCGATCAATTCTGATTTATTGTTCAGAACAAATTTTTTATTTCTTTTGGCTATTCTCATTATTTGTTAAATGTGGCCCATATCAGATTCCACTGTGAATAGGTCAGTCCTGAAGTGACATGCATGACAAAAATGTCTACAGTGACAAAGTCTTATCAGTTTTTATATGACAGGTCGCACTGCAAAAAACAAAACAAAACAAAACATAACCTAAGATTGTTCAACTCACACCCACTGACTGATGGGAGTGAAAAAGTACCAGTTCAGGAGCCTTGTAAATACCTTTCCTTTACCGATTTATGATTTACTTGTATGTTTACAATAAGTGAAGCCTTTAATATTGCTGTGTGTGTGTGTGTGTGTGTGTGTGTGTGTGTGTGTGTGTGTGTGTGTGTGTGTGTGTGTGTTTTTGTGCCTTCATACAAGTCTGTATTTCTGTAGTGTGCTGGCCTCTCTGGTAAGCCAGGCCTCCACAGTGGCCCTCTTGCTCTGTAGGGTGGTCTCCCGTTGGGTGCGCTCAGCTGCTGGCACTGAAGACAGGCTGCTCAGCTGGGCTAAAAGAGCAGGAAACAGGAGACAGGCACAGCATTACAGCAGCTACCACAAAAAACACTCTTCACTCAAGAACGAAACTTTGGTAACATCTAACCAGGCCCTTTGCGCGTTTTGTATTTGCTAAATTTACCATATATACATAATATGGCTGCAACTGACAATTATAGTGTCGTTTATTGTCAAGATAATTTATGTAGTCTATAAAATGTCAAAAAATAGTGAAAAATGCTCATCACAATGTCCCATAGCCCAAGCGACGTCTTCAGATTGCTTCTTTTGTCTAACCAACAGTCCAACCCAAAGACCCTTTACTATCATGAGTAACAGAAGCAGCAAATCCTCACATTTAACAACACATGTTGGACATTTTTTGCTGGAAAAAAATGACTGAAATAATTATCCGATTATCAAAATAGTTGACAACTAATTTTCTTCCGCCCAACTAAACAATTAATCGACTAATCGCTGCAGTGTGCCACTGAACTGACCAAAAAAGGAAGGAATAGTTGAATCTTTCAATCTCTGTCCAACTGAGTAATAATGGACACTGACTGGCAACATTCTGATTGTGTTTATTTGCATATACAGCACGGAAGTGAGATCTGTTTACAAGTGGTCTACATGGAGATGCATTCTAATGTGAGGTGTGAACTGACATACTTGTAGCTGTCCATTTGTTAACAGATCACCCAAGACGCATGTTAATAGCAGGTCTAAACAGGCTCATAGATTTGGGGTACAATTAAACTTAATCTTAATGTTGGGTATGTGAGTGTGTGTCCTTACCTTGGATGCGCAGGTTCTCCTGGTACTGGATGATGAAGTACTCCTGGCTGTGCTGCAGCTTTCTCAGTTCATTCTCAGTCTCCTGTGTGGCCAGGCGGAGCTCCTCAAAGGCCTGGTTGATCTGTTGGTGGCGCTGTGACAGGCTATCCATGGCCTGACCCCCACTCCCACCGCTGGCCTACAAACAAGATTTTAACAGCTGTTGCTTTCTTTTCATTCAGTCACTTTGGTTCTACCAACACCATGAAACTCTGCCACAATCTGGGATTCCTGCAAATGACAACACACCAACAACTCCTTCAACACTTACATTTGTAGCTTCTTGAACCAGCCTCTGCTCTGAATGCAGTATGTGTTTTATGCAGCGCACCAGCTCCAAAGGACAGCGGTCATAAGTGCTCTGCAGACAGATCACACACACACAGACACCGACCAATAATTTATACGATCAATTCAGTCCGATACCATCCCAACAATATGGCCAATGTCAGAGCCAGAACTCTGTCATGGCTCTGCTCTTGTTTAAGTGAGACAGGGCATTTTTGCGCTATTTTTGCAAAACACAAAATATATTTCTAAATGTGAAAATAACTAGTAGTAATTCCTTACAGCCTATATATTACCTAAGGCAGGGGTTCCCAAACACCAGGCTGTGGACCAGTAATGAAGAACAGAAAATTACCCACTGCGCACTGGAATTACTTTGCTGTGATTTATTAGGAACGAACAACGTGTTTCACCTTCTTCAGGTTTGCGCAGTAAAATTACATGAGCACTCACAGGTGTGATAAATAGGCTGCATCTGGGTCACATGACTAGTTGTCACAGTCACATTTTTTTCTTCATTTATCCTACAGGTTCTCGAGGGACAGTGGCAGGACCTATAGGATATCTGTCCTAAGGTAATCAGCATATCCCATTTCATCAGCTGGACATGGATATTAGTTTTCTTATTGATTTATGTAAATTGTGTAATTCTTGTGACTATGTTAGATTAATGTAATTTGTGTAATATGTTTTTGATGTTTTTCACCTTTGTAAAAAAGATAAAACACTTTTTCTGTGGTTTATCGTGTGGTTATCTACAAACAATACTGTTATGAGATAAAATAAATGTCTGGAAGAATTCAGCAAAAAGATTTTTAAATCATATTTTAGTTGCGTTTCTTTAGTTTAGTTGCATGTTAATGGACATTTATGATATCACCTCATACATATCGCAGGCCTCTGAATCAAATCAAAATCGTATCGTGGCAGAATTTGTGATATCGTTGTCCAAAGAATAGTTTAGTAATTACTAAGAATAGTAATTGTGATATAACTGTTACATGCCATTTCATTACCTTGAAATTGGTGCAGTCTGTGATCCATATTATCTTAATCACTGCTTGTTGCACCCCCCTCCCAACAGCAAAATACTGATTTTCAACTGAAGTAGGTCATCAGTGCACAAGGGAACCACTCAGTCATCAGCGCATTTCTGCATTTAGTAGCCTGGCATCTATGTGAGGACACTTAACTGTTAGTGGGAGGTCTGTCTGTAGTTTTTATTTAGTAGTAATCACCAACAGAAGTCATCACAATCTAGAGTTCCCAGTCTTAAAAAAATCCTTTTCCAGGACCTTTCTAGAACATTTTGCAGGAGTTGTTCTTGACAATACAGGACAGCACTTGCTCACAAATTATGCCATATCATTTACTGGTAGGCCTCGTATTGACAGAAAGTCCAATTCTATGCCTCCTTTTTTAATGATGCAGGGTTCATGATGAAGTGTTTTAGGTTCACTGTGACGTCAAAAAGATCACTACAAGTCTGTTCCACTCCGCGTCCAGTGTGAAGAACTAGATTTGTTGACATGGCCGAATTAAACAGAAGCGTTTAATACATTTTGGGAATACCTTTTTTGATGTCAACATTTATGAGACACTGATGTAAATGTTCATCCAATGTTTTCTGTTAAGATCGCTCAGCAGCTGGACTCAAGCAATCAAGCGAGAATCCATCTTGCCAAGCTTCAAGCTATGTTACTGACAGCATGAGCAGAGTACCACCACAGCTGACAAATGAGACCTGCTTCATGTTAACTGCTCCAAACAGTTTCAGCATAACGTTCCAGTGGACGGGGTAGAACAGGGTTTCAGGTTAGGCTCTTAAAGCAGCTGATTGATACCTTAAGCTGGTTGGCGTAGTGGCCCAGCTTTATCTTGAGCAGAAAGCCGTCCTCTCCTCCCTGAAGCTGGGCTTTCCTCTGCAACTCTGCCACCAGGTTGTCCAGCAGACGCTTGGCTTTGGCCTCCTCCGATGGGTTGTCCAACTCTACTGAATCCCTGTGAAAGGCAGGAATACATTACATTTAGATTTTTAACATATTTAATGTTAAGCTCAGTGCTACTTCACCAAGACTGCTGACGGACACAGGACTAAACAAATTCCATTAATCTCTAAACATTGATGATTAACATCTGATAAGTACTTTAAACTACTGCATGACCTGGACTTCCGTCATTTTTAAGGAAAGGTCACTTTGGTAAATGCAAATTTATTGCGCCACCAGGGCGAAAAAAAAACAGTATACACCGATCAGCCATAACATTCTGACCATCTGGGCTCCCTGGACAAACAAACTGTGATGCACTGTGTGTTCTGACACCTTTCTATCAGAACCAGCATTAACTTTTTCAGCAATTTGAGCTACAGTAGCTCGTCTGTTGGATTGGACCACACGGGCCAGCCTTCACTCCCCACGTGCATCAATGAGCCTCGGCCCCCCATGACCCTGTGTCTGGCTGACCACTGCAGACCGGGAACACCCCACAAGAGCTGCAGGTTTGGAGATACTCTGACCCAGTCGTCTAGCCTTCCCAATTTGGCCCTTGTCAAAGTCGCTCAGATCCTCACGCTGCCCCTTTTTCCTGCTTCTAATACATTGACTTTGAGGACAAAATGTTCACTTGTTGCCTGATATACCCCACCCACTGACAGGAGCCATGATAACCATTTAATAAGTGTTATTCACTTCACCTGTCAGTGGTTATAATGTTATGGCTGGTGTATAAGAAAATATCTAAAAGCAGATTCTGTTGAAAGAAAATATCTGAATAGAAGATATAGATCCAGATATAGATAAAGATTAGGTCTATTTTGCGTACCACAGCTGGCTCTCAATCCACTGGGCCAGGTAGTGTCGCACCTCGATGGGGAAATGCTGGCCGTACAGCGCCTGCATCTGGTGCAGCGCCTCACCCTGCAGTTGCTGGGCCTGGATCCACATTGCCATGGTGCTCCTGTGGAAGCAGGAGGATGGCAGGAGAAGAAGCCAGGAAAAGGTTGAGGGAGAACGGAAAGGAACAGAATTGAAATTTAGAATCGATACAGGATTTTTTTTTTTTTTACAACAATCTCGTTACTGGAAGGCAAAGCAACTCCGCTGTGGTAAATAACTGCACAAAAGGAGCACCCTCTCCATTACTGAAAATGTAAAAAAACATCCACACCAGCGATGACGTTTGGCTCTTTGGTCAACTTTGTGTGACTCTACCAATTGCAGCTGATCACGAGCACGACAAGAGTTACTACGCTTGTTAAGTCCATTAAAGCAATGTTGGCATCGTATAATCAGCTCCATTTATTATCTATAATTTCTTTATCAGAATAATACAGAAAAATGTAAATTTCCTCAACCTATGCGTGATATGCCCATGTCCAACTAGTGATTGTACTGCCCCTAGATTTGAGAAACACTGGTTTATTTACAAGTGTAGCTAACAGTCCCAATCAGATAAACAGACATAAACGATTTACCCAAAATTACCAAATCATCAAAACGCTCAGTCGGTACGGACAAGTCCAGCATGGCTAGAGAGGTGCCACCTCCAGTGCACTGCCGAGGTGCCATTGAGCAAGTCAACTAACCCCTAACTGCTCCCGGAGGCAGTGCATCACTCCACCATCTCTACGTAATTGCATGTCTATAAGCCCTGTGTGTGCATGATTGTATTTTGAGCCTATGTGTGTGTAAAAAAGAATTTCACCATTGGGGATTACTAAATAAATATCTTCTTCTTCTTCAATTCTAAAACACTAATGGTGGGGTACGAAGCCACATGGAACAGAACAGGGTTGCATGCCTGCTGGACTGAAGGTGTTACAGCTTTCACTAGTACAGTTTCAATGTCTGTATCTGTATGAAAAATTCATAAATAATTACCGTTTCCCATAAAGTAGAGATGTTCCGATACAATTTTTTTCCTCCCGATACCGATTCCAATACTCATGCTGTGGGTATCGGCCGATACCGAAAACCGATACCGATACCAGTGTGTTAAAAAAAATAAAAAATACCACGCCTGCATGACTGTGATACAGGGGTGGACTGGGACAATAATTCAGGCCGAGAATTTGATACCATCCCAGGCCACCACCACCCGATTAACGCAAAACACCAAGAGTGAGTTAGGTTGGGCGCCTACTGATGTAAGAGTGTAAAATAATAAAGCAAAGGCTCCACATGCGCCCACACACAGCTTTTTCTTTTTTCCCCCCACAAAATAAATGTTTCTGTTGTGCTGCGATAACCTGTACTCAAATCACACAATTTTTATTCTATTTCATTTACGACTACACTTTTAATGTGCAGGCTGCACATTTAATAGTGTAGTAGTAGATTAAATAAAGATGCAGATGTGTAGGTTACATTAAACAAGGAAACTTCAAACACACACAGAAAGATATTTGCAATATCCTTTGTAACAACTTAAAACATTTGTTTTATTAAGTCAGTTTTAGCCCCATCAGCTTCCACAAAGTGAAACTAACCTCCTCAAAAAGCTAGTGGTACTGGATAGACTCTGGTTGTGTGTCTGCTGTCACCACTAGTGTAAATTACGTGGTATCGGATCGGTGCCTGGACTCCAGTACTCGCCGATACCGATGCCAGCATTTTCGGTAGTATCGGAGGCATTTCCGATACTGGTATCGGAATCGGAACAACTCTACCATAAAGTTATATTGTGAAAGAAGCAGTTGTAAAACAGTGGATCATTTTTTCCCATCGCTGTATCCAACTTTCTTTATATATCCATGGACCTGCAGTATTATGTGTAGATATAAACAGCTCATTCTAAGGTAACAAAACCACAATCATTCTTATTTGCAGGTGGACATTCACTAAAGAAAACATAGTAATGCATAATATTACACACTGGATCTTTTAGGCTCTCACTGTATTGGCTTTATTAAAGCTAACGCACTGTAGAAAGATATGGCTGGCAGTAGCAGCGCTGTCTGTGTGGACACCATACACGTTCAGCGACGTAACGTTAGCCGACACACACAGGTAGAGGTAGTCAAGTGTGTCGCGGGCGTTAGCCCCAGCACTTGTCAACTCCTAGAAACGCCCCTGCCATCAGCCACTTTCCGATCTCGGCTTCACACGATTATATGTAGCAAACTTACAAATGGCGACCTCTGAGTATTGCCTAACACATGTAACGTTTCGCACGCTTGGTGTGAAGGTGGTACATTAAATTTACGTTCGGTACTTTGGGGTGACCAGACGTAACATTAGCTAAGCTAGCGAAGGTAGGCTATTCTACTAGCTAGCATAGTAGGAAAGCTCACTGATACAGAACAGCGCCTAACTTCATTAACATGCGCCACAAGTAGTTAACAGCTAACGTTAGTTAGTTTACGTCTAAACTCACCTTTTAAGAGACTGCAGCACACCTTACACCAACAACATGGACGAGCAGCGGACAGTACACATACACACAACTTTATAAACCTAACACAGGTTAGTTGACGTACAAGTCACATCGCCAACTACTTTAACGCCTTCTGCCTTCTGGTTTCTGGTTTCTGGCAAAGCAGCTGTTGTTCACCAGCACCAAGCCAATGAATGTTAAAGACAGCTTCCGATTTTAAATTTCAAAATAAAAATCCTAATGAACCACAGTGATATGTCTAATCACTTTATTAGCCGGTGACTATCTTTTGTTAAAGCTAGTTTATTCTGCATGTGATAGACTACATGTATAAAATGTTTTTAAGAGAAATCTGTTGGGTTTTTTGGCAATAATTATGTTTACTTTTTTAATTTCTCCATTTCCTGTCGTATTCCTGCTAACGTCAGATAGCTTGATACAGCTCTCCTATTTCCGCTAACAGCCCCATCTCTGTGACGATAAATCAGAATAAAAGAGGGCAACAGGTTAGATGAAAGAGTTGTGAATAAAATATATTTTTAAAATGTGACGAGATTATTTTTTTATTATATGTTATTTGTGGTATTATTATTATTATTATTATTATTATTATTTTATTTGTGACACACATTTAATTTGTATTGTTTCATTTTTCAATTGATTTTATTTTTGAAATTAATTTGTCTGACTTTATCTTTAATATATATATATATATATATATATATATATATATATATATATATATATATATATATTTAATGCACAGTTGCCTTGTGTTGGGGCCAGTGACATTTAACAAAAAAAGTGAATTCTATATATAATTGTTTTCATGTTCCGACTATTCAGCACTGTAGTGATGTGTTTTTGTGCAACATTAGACTTGTTAGACTTTGTCATGAGCTACAACTATAATTTGCCAAGATTAAAAAAGGTTAGAATACAAAACACTAAAAAGCGAGAATTACCAAATTAAACTTGTGATCAGATATATACCTTAATATATATATATATATATATATATATATATATATATACCTTAAATTAGCTTTGTAATCAACAGTTTGTGTCCAGTCCTTCTCTTTTCCCACTAACATTCAATAAGAACACAGAAACTGTGAACCAAATAGCTTTTATTATTTAAATCATTAGTGGTTAAGCAATTAAACATTATACAGGAATCAGTTACCAACAAAACAAAAGCAAGGAAACAGTTAAGTATGAACTACATTTTGTGTTCTATTGACATAGGCCTCAGCACAGCTGTATGTTGTTAGTGCTTTGACAGACATTAATCCCCTTTGAATGCCTGAGAAATAAACCACTGAAAGAATTCTCTTCCACAGTTGTGCATCAAAAAGCTAGAATATTTTATGCTTGTTTACATGTAGAAGGTCACTTGTTGTTCTGTGAAATCTGTGCAAGCATCAAAATTATTTGGCGCAAGTGGCTGTTCTAAATGCAGAAGAGGCAACAGAAGGCAAGAGGATCTCTGGAAATTAAATCAAAATGCATGATGATCTGCATCAGCAGTGATTCACATTATATACAAAAAATACTAACACAAGCAAAACTGTGACGTGTCTGAGCGAGAAAGAACACTTTGACAGTACAAATACTTGGCAACTTTGGCACTCAGTTATATAAAACTGTATTTTCTCACAACATTCACAAATGTGTCTGTCTATGTTAACCCTTTGATAGAATGCTGACCTTCAGTATGCCGGGATAGATTCCAGCTCCTGTTACCCTGACCAGGACTAGTTTGCATAGGTGGATGGAAATTTATCTTGCTATAAAAATGCAGCTGGAGCAGAACATTCAAGAGTGACAAACATTAGTTCTTGAATTGATTCTTGGAAGGCACTCATGATATACCACCAGTAGTGGCGAATATATAAAACACATTTATACATCTTGTTACAAACAAGTAAATGTGGACAATAAAGGAAAACCTGTGTGGAGAACAGTTTGGAGATGTGGAGAAATGCACATTTAATACTTTGGAGCAGAGAAAGTGACAGTGAGATGGCTGGACACTAGGGGTCAGTGTCAGACCACAGCAATAACACACACTTGAAATTAATCTTGTGAATAGACTGGACCGAGAGTACACAGCACTGATAAGAGCCTAAACTGGTTCTACTAGAGGTTAGTGAGACTTGCTGAAAGTATTGGTCCTTATCTCAGTTTATTTATGAAACACATCTTTAAATAGCACATAAGAAGAAAGTTCTCATGAGAATATAATCAAAATGAATACTACTGGTAAGTGAAATGCAATGGACCTATGAATGAGCTGTCTCTGCCTTGTGTTTTTTGCAGACCTTCATTTTCATGGGTGCTGGTTATTTGTTGGGAACACTGGCAATAAAATGTAACATAAGCATGAAACAAGGTGTGCAGAAATGACAACAATGAGGCTACATTCTGTCAATATTGGAGAGGACATTAGTGTAAATTGTGATCACATACAAAATCATACACACATTTTTAACTGTGAACTCATCAAAACCTTGAAATTACAACAGAATCACTGCGGTTCTAAATAATGACTAAAGTAAGCAGAGGAAGATATAACCCAGTATTTAAACCGCTGAACAATGAATGGGGTGGAGGGTATAGTTTTGCATCTGTGATATGTAAAATATTTCTAAAAAAACAAGACATTTCTGGATAAGCATGGATATATACTCAGTGTATTAATGAATTATTTGGCCATTAGGAATCTGCTACCCACGGCCCATGAGATAATTTTTCTTTACGTTCAACAAATTGAAAATCAGTGGACAGGAGACGAGTCGTATCCATATTCTCATCCCACTAGGTGTGAGTGATTAGCGTCTTGATTTTAAAAAATGAAACAGGAAAAGAAATGCTGACAAATTAAATTTTCTTACAATGGGAGTGAGGGTGACCCCTCCTAATGATTTCATTATTGTGTCAGTTCTGCCACTGCCCCACCCCCTTTCAAAAGCCCCTCCCACAACAAAGTTATTTCCTGTTTCCTCTTCCCATTTTATTTTCTTTCCATTTTCATGATCACGTACACCATCCGAATACAAATGGACTTTGAACAACCCTTATGGTGCTTTTGCAAATATGGAAAGGTTTTCAAGTTAACCTTTTTATTGTGTTGTTTTAAAGAACACAACCTGTAGTCAAATAAAGTAAAAGTAAGTTGTTAAATGATTATTCCATTTTTTTTATAACTTCAGTTTTATTTCAGTAGTTTTGGTCATCATTCCTATTGGTAATAAAACACTGTCTTGACCAAGTTGACTGGTGATCTGGGAGTGCAGAAGCCCATGGTCAGATTAACCTGAGGAAAAAATAGCTTGGTACTGGGCACCCACTGATTCCCAGTTCCTTCCACTCTCAATGTGTACAGTTTTCCTAAGCCTTTGCTTTTTGGTAACTTTTTGTCCACTTAATGGCAGCACAACTTGCTGTAAACACGCCCTTGACATGTCATCACTATATAAAGTTGATGTGGCAGACGTGTTAGCAAAGAGTTTTCTTTTCTAGCATTCAATTTGGAGTAGTGTTTGTGTCCAATACTCCAATTCGCTTTGGTTGGGGTTCTACAAACTCTTAAGAAAAATATCACATTCTTTAGCTGCTAAATGCTCCACTATGTTCACCAGCTAGTCTCTAACTGTGTCTGTTTGCTGCTTGGTGCTGGGCAAGTAGTGTACATTAGGTTTATCTGAACTTTTTGACCTAAAGTAGGTTGTTCTTACTGCTGGAGACTAGATTGATGAGAACGGCTAGACTGAAAGAAAAAGTTGTGGGCTGAAAACCTAAAATCACCACCATAAAGATGTAAGAAACTCTGCACATATCTAAGGGAACTGCAGAGGTGACCCTCCCTAAGTCCAACCCATTTTTGGGGTGAGTACAAAGTTATCGTAACTGATTGGAATAATGGCCAAAATTATAAAAATAAGACCCAAGTTGTAATTATTCTTTAGCGATCTCAATTTATTCTGTTTTTACAAAAGAACCTCAGGGTTGGTGCCAAGGATTTTCTTGGGATCATGGCAAATTCCTTTATCTAGTCGCTGTCTCTATCTCTGTCTTCATTCTCCTGAAGGACATCTTGGCTGTCTTCCTCTTCATCATCCTCAGCCTCTTCCTCATCGCCTCCACCATTCATCATCTCCATCTCAACCTCAACTGCGCCCTCCTCAACATCCCCATCCACCCCACTGAAGTGCTCAGCATCTTGAGACACCTCCACCATCTCTGTGCCTTGGACCACCTCAACAGCGCCCTCACGGACTTTCTTGACGTGGAAGGTGAAAGGGGGCACCTTGTATACCGCAGTCTTGGACCGGGCATAAACGACATGGTCTGGCGTGAAGGCCTTCTTCATTTTGTCACGGGATGTCTGCATCTTCTGCTTGCGTTCAGGGTTGACACTCATGCGCGTTCCAAGCTTTCCCATTTTCTTCTCAATGTTGTGGCGTGTCTTCTCCAGGTTTTCCTTGGTCTTCTGCTTGGTCTTCTCTAAATTCTCCTTGGTTTTCTGCCTGGTCTTTTCCAGGTTATCTTTTGTCTTCTGCTTTGTCTTCTCCAGGTTCTCCTTGGTTTTTTGTCTAGTCTTCTCAAGGTTCTCTTTGGTCTTTGCTCTGGTCTTATCCATCTTCTCTTTTGAGAAGACTGTCTTCAGGGTTTGTACACGCTGCAGGCTGCTACGCTTGATGCGCTCAGCACGAGACTCCTCTATGGTCTCTTCAATTGCAAACCCTTCCTCATCTGATGAGAGGTCTACATGAGGTTTGTCTTCCTTCTCTTCTTCTCCTCCCTCCTCTCCAGGCTCCTCCGCAGCTTCCTTGAGCTCTAGCAGGCTGCCTCCTCTGCTCCCTGACACAGACTCAGAAACTTTCATGGATTTAGAAACGCTCAGTCTTGAGGGAACCTTCACTTCATCCTGTGGAGAGGAGAACATAAAGAATGTTAATGCTATTTAGTGTGATAGGTATATGTTTCCCAAAGTTCAGACAGGAAGAAGAGCACCTTGCTGAAATTTAAGCTTTACACAGAAAATTATGGTCCAGGATGGCCAATGAAAATGTAGGCAGAGAAACATCTATTATGTTAACTAACTAACTAAAAGGTCACAATAACTGGAAAATCACAGAGACAATCTGTTTGGAGATATGCATCTGCAACAATTCCAACAGCTAACACATACTATAATTACTTGTAAACTTGATATATTTATGGCTTTAAAGGACGAGGGTTTAGGATTCAGTGGCATTTAGCAGTGAAGTTGCAGATTGCAACCATTTTCACTCAAATTAGCTGTCTGCTGCTGCTAGGAATGACTGTTGGAACTGAATCAAAATAGTAAAGTAGGGGGAAAAGATTCTAAAAATCTCTCTGCATTCATCACTATAAGCGAAAACTTTCATGCCATTCATAGACCTTTCATCCACAGTTAAAAGAAAAACTTTGATTAGTGCAGCTTTACGGTTCATCTAAAGGTATATTTATAGTGCATTTAGGTTAGGTTGTAGTTAAGCAGGAACTGGTTTTAGGAACTGGCATAAGGAATGGAATGTCTTCACTATTATGAAATGAATGAATGTTTGTCCATTTTTCCTTTCTATTTCCATGTGCACATGTACACACAGGCCAACTAAGGTGAGGACTATGACTCACCAGCCAGGGTTTGCTACACAATGAAGGCACTAGAGGCCCGTCTAAACAGAGATGTGGGATGATTACACTTGGCAGAGGCCAAGATCAAGTGAAATCTGTAACAAGATCCATGGTTCACTCGTTTAAGTCATACCAGAGGGAGACATGACAGAAAAATGAGAGACAAAAGACTGAAAATTGTAATAGTTTAAGGGAGGTTTTCTGTTAGAGCTATGAGCTGTGTGTTACGCAACGCTATGTTGACCACAAGAAAGGCTTTACCTTTCCAGCTTGAGGTGGATATCAAATCACTGGTGTTAAAGTCAAAGTCAAGTCCCAAGTCTTTTATCAAGTCTAAAGTCATCAGATTCATTGCTTGAATCAGACTTGATTTGGACTACACTAACTCACAAACTGCATCTCCCCTGGAGATTATTCATACTAATGACCTAGTTTGGTTTAAGACCTTTGAATCACAGCCAACATTTTGTCATTGCCAACACAATTAGCTCAGAGATTCAAATAGGTGTAGTGTTATGCCCATTGATGTTATCTTCGTACATGGCTAGCTAGCTACCTACTTATATTGGAAAATTGTGACAGAAAAATGCTCTGAAGACGCTCTGCTTCTGAAACACTCTCGGTCTTTTGGCACTGAGCTCCTCTCGGCCCCACTACATGCAAGACTCTAAGAATAGCAGTTATCACTGCTATTATCAGGGCTCACTAGTTCGGCTTTGGGTGTTTCTCTTACATAAATGTTTTGCTCAGCAGAGTTCTTACACGTCCTGTACAAAACACGATACACAAATCACAAGTAAGTATGACCTGACTCCATCCGTCCCCAGCCCGCCCTGATACAGCATTCCTGAACAGCACCACTTTATGCTCTTCTCCCTCTTCCCTCATTTAATCCTCCATTCCCATGGCCCTCCCATTCACCTTTTCTCGCCTTTTTCTCGTTTGCATTCCAGATGAGGAAGCCTTTCTTTCCCTTTCTCTCATGTGCCCCCTTCACCTCGTAAATACAATGCACCAGCTTGTTAATGAAGGAGGAAGAATAGATAGAAGGAGTGGTGAAGGGAGGGGGTCTTCCTCTTTCCATCACAGCAAATTTTTCATCCAATGGGGCTCCTGAATGTCTGCATGAGGGCCAGAACTTGTACGTATTGTCTTTTCCTCTCCCTTACACTGCCTTTATGGTCAAAACAGGAACACAGCAGAGCCAGAACAAAGGACCACGGGGGGAGGTGTGGAAAGGGTAGATGTTTCTCTGCTGTTGCATGAATCGAGTAATAGCACAAGTGGGATGATGCTTCAGTCTTAGAAAACCATCTGCTCAGCAGGAAGATGATAGCATCAAAGTGTTGGCTGGAAAGTGGAGGTATGACAGTTGAGGGTAGGTGAGGGGGGGCCCCCTGTCTATTGTGTTCTGTTGCAGTCTGATGGTGGTTTTATGAAGGTATTGTACTGTAGTATCTTGGGTAAACTTGACCTTGGATCAGGGATCTTGGCTTTCCTGTACAGCTGTGTTGACAGGCAGGGAGAGCTGGAAAATACCTGCCTCGCTCAGAATCATTACATCTTGTTTCAATCTCAAGGACAATGCAGTGGGTGTTGTAAATCGCTTAAGCACAGTGTGGTCCAAGTCTCTGACAAGGCCTCACAGTTTGTCACAAGAGCTCTTATTAAAGGTTGATATTAGGGTGTTGCAGCTTTTTCTTGTGAGAATGTATCACTTTTTTTCAAGGAGAATGGAATTTCCTGCTGTATCTTCAATTTCAATTTTTTTCAGTTCAATTTTATTTGTATAGCGCCAATTCATAACAGAAGTTATCTCAGGACACTTTTCAAATAGAGCAGGTCTAGACCAAACTCATTATAACATTTACAGAGTCCCAACAGTACCACCATGAGCAAGCATTTGGCAACAGGGGCAAGGAAAAACTGCCTGTTAAGAGGCAGAAACCTAGGACAGACCCTTCGGCTCTAGGGGGTGGTCTTCTGCCTCGAACATCTTAAACTGGCCTAGTGTAATTAGTGTCACCAATTGACCAAATGTGAAATGTTGTAACAATCTCCCCTTCTGTTCAGTTATAGTGCTGAAAAGAAGTTTTTTAATTATGAAATTTTGTCACAATTAACATATTAATTCTTCAGTTATGGTCAAAAACCTGTTTTATGAGGTCACAGTGACCTTTGACCTTGGAACACCAAAAAACTAATCAGTTCATCCTTGAGGCCAAATTAGAAGAAATTCCCTCAAAGTGTTCACATTCACATGAATTGGATGGAGGATGGGCGGATGGACAACCCAAAAACAGACGCCCATAAAGGCTGCACTGTTCATTACACTTACAATATGAAAGTCCTGAAATCAGCCCATAGTATGAGATATGCTACATGCAATGTAGGAATGTAACAATATATCGCAAGACTGTTAAATCACAATACAAATATATGAAGATTTAAATCTGTGAGATGAAACATGAATAGTGTTACTCTTTTTATTCAGCAGAGGGCACTCAACTCAACTTTTGACTTTGCTTGTTCGATAACATTATCCCTGTCAGTAGCTGTATCAAAGCGCAGCGACATGTTGCCGGTTAAGACTTTAAAATTGAGGATATTTCCTGTTTTTTTCCATAGTTGACAGGGTTATATTTTCAGATTCACTTTTACAAAGACAAAATAAATATGCATTGTTTTGCATAGTGTATACCCAACCTCAGAAATCAAAAAAACAAATTGGGATTTTGCATTAATTGTTGCTATCACAACATTGCAACTTCAATCTTATTTGTTAAAAAATCTGTGAGAAAATCATAAGAAATCAACAACCAGGAACCGTGAATTGTATCAAATCGTGAATCTTTACATCCCTGATGCAAAGTTGACATTTTGTTCTGGGAGTGATTCTCGAAAAAAAGTACTTGTCTAAAATTAAAAGGGTGATCCAAGGTGCTCAGCAAATGTCAGGAAACAACCCATAAGAGATTTTAACCTGATGGCATTGAAAGAGAAATAATTAAAACCTTAAATTAACTAGCCTTGGCCAGACTATTGGAGTACCTGTAATGGCTGCCCTTTTCCCTTATGTCTGAGGAACCTGCACATACCACATATACAGTGTGTGCCTGGGAAAGCCCTGTCTGTCAGAGACAGTGTAGGAGGTCACAAGCTAATGTGTTTGCATAAGTACAACAGAAGCTGGTGTACAGGAGGGAATTCTGTGTGTGTCCACAGTACATGGAAAGAGTGTATGGGGAAGTTCAGGCATTCACCTTGGTGTGCTGACTTCCTGACCCTCCTAATTTAATGGGACATTGTTCTTCCAGGAGGCTGCTGCGTCAAAGACAGGAAGGTACTCTCAGAGCCATGGAAAATAGACGAATGAGGTATGTAATGGTTCTGTGAGTAACAGTGTGTGTGTGTGTGTGTGTGTGTGTGTGTGTGTGTGTGTGTGTGTGTGTGTGTGTGTGTGTGTGTGTGTGTGTGTGCACGCACGCGCGTGTGTGTGACAGACTTCATTTTGCCTTTAGTGCTTGCAAAACATAAATGAGGAGATCATTTCCATATCTGGTTTGCACTTAAATTACAAAATAATAGTTGCGAGGGAAGTTAGTTGCAAAACACACTTAACCACACTGTGTGTGTGTGGTGTGTGTGTGTGTGTGTGTGTGTGTGTGTGTGTGTGTGTGTGTGTGTGAGTGTGGGAGAGAGAAACAGAGAGTCAGTGTGTCCTGGAGCAATGGGAGTAGTCGTCTCATGATTTGTTTCATCACAATATGAGTCTGCGCTCTTTGCTCTTTATCTCTTGTTATGCCTTCGTGTTGATTTGAGTGTGTGTGTGTGTGTGTGTGTGTGTGTGTGTGTGTGTGTTCACAGTGCACTGGGTTTCTATAACCACTGCTGCATTCCACTCTCCTACAACTAATAACACATACACAACACATACATTATTGCATTGTCAACATCAACTTTCCTACTTGTTTATCTCTTATAGCTTTCTTTCTCTCTTTCTTTCTTTCTTTCTTTCTTTCTTTCTTTCTTTCTTTCTTTCTTTCTTTCTTTCTTTCCTCAGTCTGTCACCACCAATGGTGGATTGGTGACTCATAGCTGGTGGAAAAGCCATTCATCTGAGAGGTGTTTACAGTGCTTTTACCCTGGCTCTCTCCCTCTAACAACCTACCACCCACTATGTGCACTAATGCATGAATACTCACACTCTTTAGCACTCTGGCACAACACATTATGAGTACACTGTTAATAATGCTGCTAACATAC